AAAAAAAATGTAATTTTTGTACGAAAAATATCATTTTGAAATCTTGGCAAGACAGTTACCTTCATTTAGTGATCATTTACTAATTACAGAGAATTCTTAATTTTTCAACAAACTTTTAACTATCGTTGTACTGTGCATACATATCGAAATTTATATATTTATCGTTATCAAATATATTATACAATTTGGATTTCTTTTGCGAAAATCTGAATGCATGGGTTAAAAAAATTAAGGCAGATTCGTAAACCACAAGTACAAAAATGTATTATTTTATAAAATTTAAACAACATTTACCGTGCATAAATTTGGGATGACGCCATCAAATTGTTGGTGGGGATGATTACTTAGTTTTTTAGTTATCGTTATACCATGTACATGTCCCATAATTTCCGGTATTATGAGTCTTAATAAAATGTGACACAGAGGACAAAGAGACGGAAACGGCAAACCTATTTTAATCATACTCTGAGGATCATAGAGGGTCGAGAAAACATGAAAGTACGCAGTGGGATGAACCCTATTACAATACTTTCTTAGCTTCTAGGCTCGGATAATAATAAAAATTAAAATTTGTGACGTACTAGCATAGCTGCCAATATTTCAAAACTGCCAACACAAAAATTTGGTTCAATCATTAATGGTGCTAATAGTAACAGTACTGGATACTCACTTTTTCGGGAAAATAGGTTGAGCCCTTTTTGATTAGTTAAAAAACAAAAATTTCCTAATTCATTAATTGTTTAGTGTTAGCCCCATTGATAAATCACAAATGAAGAGTCATAATATTCGGCGTATTTTAAATAGGATTTATCCATCAAAATTTTGAGATGATGTCATCAATTTTTTGGAGGCGCCATAAACGTATAAATTTAAGATTTCAAAGTATTCGATTTTGCAATTTAAAGCTAAATTGTAGAATGTTGTTAATCAATTTTAATTTTTTTTCTTCCAAAAGCCTGAATGTCTAGGGTAAAAAGTCAACACGGATTCATAAACCTCAAGTGGAGGAATATTTTATTTTAAAGGGTTGTTTTTGTAATTGGTGTTACAATATTTTATAGGGAGATAAATAGAGATAAGTGCTTTCTTGTGGTATTAATTAAATATATATAGTCTATTATACAGAGTGTTTATAAAAAATCTAAAATTATTTTTGTTTTCTTTCTTTCGATATGTTGGTGTGTGTCTTAAAAAAGGGACAAAGTGCAAAAACTATTAACTCTAGATACAGAAAATACTTAACAAAATAAAAGAGTATAAAAACAGAGTTAAATGCAAAAATAAAATATACATAGGGTGTCTTATTTGAAGAAACTGAAATATCGAGCGCATAGTTTCGTTTATCTCTCCACAAAATATTGTAACACATATTTTAAAAAAGCCTTTCCCATTTTTTTTTTTGCAAAATTTTGCATTGATGAAAATTTCATCATCAGAATTTCAAAAAGAGACTAAGATTTCAACACAAGTTGTGTTGTACCTCAAAACAGAACACTCTGTATAATTCAGAATAATTTTAGTGAATGTTACTTAAAGAACAACTTTGTTTTTTTTTTTTAATTTTAACTTGGTTTAAGTTACTCGCAACGTCTGTCTTGTTGTTTAATTGGTCCAAGATCCTGACAATAAGTTCAAAATATCTGTCATGGACACCATCACAAATAAAATGTAAATAATATTTATTATTGTAAATTTTGGAGATGACGTCATTCCATTGTTGGTGGGGATGACTAGACAGTTCTTGGTTAGCGGTTTACTATCTACATGCTATTCCTAATATACATATAAAATTCGACAACAATCGACCCAATAGTTTTGGAGATTATATCCAATGAAAATGGACAAAAGACGACAGACAGACAGACAGACGGACGACAGACAGGGATCATAAAACATCAAGATTTAAAATTAATGCGTCAAGAAAACCTAAAACCGGGATTCATCGGATGGGCCCTATTACAATACTTCCTTACCTTACGATCAAGAAGTAAAAATACGGTTTCTTTTCAAATGCACACAATCATTTTTTTTTCAGAAATTTTGGACGCATACCAACACTAATTTAATAATTACAGACAAATGATTAAAATAAATAACAATACAGTGACTTAAAAATTTGAGAAAACCAGGCAAACCATTTTTCATTTAATCAATAAAATTAATCGATTCATTCGTTAATTTTCTTAAACGTCCTGCTTAAGCAATTCTAAAATTTAAAAATATAGCAAAGATTGAGTAGCAAAAGACATTTTTTAACAAATATTTATTTAATAAAATTTAGGGATGATGTCATTAAATTTATAAAAGGGGCGAATAAATAAATTTTAATACTCCATATAATATGTAAGAGTTATTATCAGTACGCGGGAATTTGTTTCACCGCCGCAATCCCCCAGTTGAAGTAAGGTGTGTTTTACGGCGAGTAGCGGTGACGCCTTGATCTGGTCCACAAAGTCGTAGCCAGTGCGTCGCTGGGAGTGTTTACAGCTAGTAAAAAAACTACTTCTATATTACTATATTACTTCAAATAATAATACTTGATGCCCTTTTTAATTTTTCAACCACAGGACCACAGATTTGTGATCTTGAAATGTTATATTATGTTGAAATAGTCCAAAAGAAAAATATATTTGTAATCAAACTATCGCCGGGACAGCACTGGTTCTAGCGTATGAGATACAATTCCGCGCGTTGGTTATTATAAAAAATAAATTTGCATAGTTAAGTTTTACAATTTAATAATTAGGGATTCGATTTCTTTTATTGTGCTGCAGTGACCAGGGAAGTTCTATCTAAATAACTGAGGGTCAATTTTAATGCACAGGCTTTATTACAAAAAATACACTGATCGGCAAAAAAACGGCTATTCTGAAATATTTCCAAAAACCACTTTGGAAAATTATATTTTACTAGTAATAGTATTTATTTGTCCTTTTTTTAGCTAATCCTTATATCTGGTTCGAAGTTTGTTCTATATTTTGCTTTAATTTTGTTTGTTTGCTCGTGGAATACTGACAAATGTATTTCGGTCACTTTCCATTAGAGGCGCCATAGTACCGAGCCAAAAGGCCAGGTACTAGGGGTTGGCGTTGTTATCGAGAAACCCTCCTAGAGGTAACATCGCAAAGGTGACGTCACTCGTGCAGTGTTGGCGCGAAATTGGACACGTGGTTCCCTTGTGCTGGAGGTCTACAGGACTTTTAAACCGGGAAGCTGAACAGAACATCGTAGGTGACCTTTAGTGCGTTTGTCAGCTTCGATCCAAAATCTAATTTTCGGAATTGTAAATCGCCGCGAAAAAGGGTGTTTTCAAAGCCTTTACTTCCGACACCTTATATCCTGTGTCTACAGTGAATGGTTCTATAAATAAAATAACAATCACTACATAAATTAATATTTTTTAAAGCGATTTTGTGCAATATTTCAGGGTGGCCGGTTTTTTTGCCGGGCAGTATATGTACATTATGTGAAATCAACTTTTACGATTATTTACGAAACTAGATTTGACTGTGCTTGAGGGGCGAGGGAAGATCTTTGTAGATTGAACTCACTTTGGAACTTTTTTTTTAATTTTTGTAATACATATATTCGATTAATACAAATTTTACGAATGTATCTATCTAAAGGCGTAAAATATGTACATAGAAAATTTAATTGTCATAAAAAAAAAACATATTTATGATGTCGTAATTTTTACTGCGGCAACAGGCAAACCTACAATACATGTGTAGACGCATAAAAGTATATTTCACAGAAACCAAGGAAATACTGCTATTTCTAATTCTCATGTTTCATTTAAATATTTTCGTTTTATACTTTTAAAAAATTTGTAACAATAAATGGTTTAAATCATTCTATCTTATTCGTGTCCCATTGATCCTGACAGCAGGGGTCTGTAGCACATAGTTAGTGTCCAGGTGTACGAAAGCAGTACTGTGTGAATCAAGTGCCTCTTGCTTGTATTACACCAAATTTTATGTTTTTATATTGTTTACCATAGCCGCAATAATTGGTTAATAATAATTAATTAAAATTTACCGAACACAAGGACAAGCTGAGTACGAAAAAATGTCATTATAAACTAATCTGATTGATGTTTGATTATAGATAATTAAAATTAATTCATTACTGCAACTGCATCACATCCTAACGGGTCTCGGGTTCATACAATTCTTTACATTATGAAGATCAAAAGGAAGGAATTTAAAACCATTTTAAATTAAAGAAAAAAAAAACAAATTCGCTACCGTGGAACTTGCTAGTGTTATCAGGTGATGAACTTTTAGCTACCACAAAAATCGACCACTACACAAAATTCTTGTACACTTAACTGTTGTGTCTACGGTTTCGAATGAATTTAAACGTAAAACTAGAAGAGAGGACAATAAAAACACGATCAAAGACAGCTGTGGATATTTGAAAGTTTGTCTTTGATCGTGTTGTTTATTGCCCTCTCGGTGTAATAATGATTATGGTTAATAAATAATAATTAATCAGTTCTACGATAATCTTGGACTTAGAAAAAGATAGAGATGTAGTTGTATTAATAGGGAGAAAAAAGATATTATGTAATATTTACAGGTATGAGATATGAACGTCACCGAAAAATTGTCAAAAGGATTTGTTTTTAGATTATTGCCTCCAATATTGATTGATATTAAAATTTTCAGATTAACATATTTTTTAAGAAACATTCTATAGAATAAATAGCATGTGTTCAAAAGTGTTACAAAATAATGAACATGTCGAATAAAATTAGTTTGACTTTTCCACAGTGCAGAACAGTAGCTAAACTCCACTAAGTTGTAAATTAGTATATATGTGTGAATAAATTTTTCCATGTCGAAACTGCTTGATGTGGAGATCACACAACCTCGTCAATTCAAAATACCCTCACAGTAATTCTCAATCTTATTATGATAATATTTAGTGAAAGGTTTCATTCACTCAAACAATCACCAACAACTTGCCATTGTTTTCAACACTTTGTTCTTTTCCAGCTCAATCATGTCAGGAGATTCGCCTAACGCTTTCACCAACGAAAACGTCTTCGATTTCAAAGAAGGTCGTTCTTCGCCAGCTCCGACGACGTCTAAAGATCAAAACACGAGCGGTTACGTAACGGCGTCAGTACTCGTAGAACCGCAAAAGGAAAAAGGCAAAGATAAAGACAAAGACAAGGAAGACGAAGATCGTCCGGACTTTTCTACGCCGACACTCAATCCCGGAGCAGATAAAGAGAAGCGTCGACCCTCGGACGCCGACAAAACGCTCGAATTGAACGATCCCCGAAACGAAGATTCCGGAAAGGGAGGAGACAAGAAGGAAGAACAAAATTTGCTGAACGGTGGATTGGACAGGTTGCCAAATCCATACGCTCGATCAAAGGCATATGATGACGAAGATAGTGAGGAGGACACGTGCATCGTGAATTGCATATATTACACGATGGAATGTTGCAAATGTTCCATTGTTTAGTGCAGCGTATAGGTAATAATGTTTTTGTGATATTTTGTACTCGTCTCGTGCCTCATTCCTATTTTTAAGATGAATATTAAAGCAGGTAGATATTTATTTCAGTGTAGGTACTGACGGAAGTATCTACGTTAATAAAATTTTATTGAGTGCTTGTATTTTGTAAAATGTGAGCGTTGCATTACAAAAACTGCTCGAAATAAAATGTAGATCGTAATGAATAATAATTAAATGAAATTGTTAGTGAAGTGTATGATTTAGTCAATTTGGAATCTCGACTGATTAATAATGTTGGCAAGCGATGATTTGCTGTCTTGTATTTTTATGGTAACGATTTATCTTGTAGTGAAGGCATCAGTGTGCCATGTTTAAAGGGTGAAACTGGTCGAATGAAAGTGATTTATTTGGAGAAAAGTTCGTTACATAGGCTGATAAGAAATATGTCAACTGAAAAAATACCTATAGTTAACTGTATTATTATTATTATTGTTGTAATAACAAAAATAAATCAATCCAAAAAATTGCTTTTAAATGTCGCCACAAGATGGTTCTTATTTGAAACCAGTCTCCCAGTTTTTAGTACTTCTATAAGATACTGATAAAACGAAGGACCATGCTAAAAAATAAATTATTTGAAGAAATTCTAAATAGAACAACAATTTTTCTTCCGACCTGTTGCATAGGATACCTCTAATAATGCTGTTCAGTGTTGTAAATCGCACACAAACCGTAGCGACAAAGTGGATTCGCAACAATAACGTATACTTGATTTGTCAAAATTTTGAAGCTTTAGCCACCACATGTACATGCCAAAACAGAATGATTTACCTAGACAGATATAACGCTGATTTGAACATTCACTTGATGTACAGTTGCGGCTCCCCAAAAGTGCACGATAATTTTCTCTATTGTAAATGTATTTATCTTCAAATCATGGGCGCTCGAATAACAAAACTGGTCAAATTTGACATTTTGTTTATTCAAAAATGCTGCGCCACTAGTAATGATAATGTAAAAAGTGGAACTTTGACCATTATATTTCTAAAAAATAAAAAAAAACTATACAGGTGATCAATAATACGCACTCGTTGGCATCTCATTAATTATTATTATTAGAAATAGAAAAAGATTTAGCAGTTAGAATTGTACGGCTTTTTGAGGAGCATAAGCAAACATTATATTCCACTGTACAGAACGTTCTATTTTTGAGACACAATATACAACTTCGTTTTTAAAATGGAACATTTATATATATTTACGTGCCTGATTGGCTTCTTCTTAAGCTTGATATTTTTTTTTTATTTTGATGCGATGTTGCCACGTAATTCCAATTTTCTTGATTTTTTTAAGGACACGAAGGTTCACAAAAAATCGCAGTGGGCTTATTTGTAAATCTATCATTACAATATTCTATGGATAGATAAACAGGGGCGTGGGCTTTATTATAGTGCCAATAAAATTGAGCCTTACTATACGGTGTTTATAAAAAATTTTAAATTGCTATAATTTTCAAATAAATTCAATCTTCAATTTTTTTACATAAAATATTCCATGTATGATCACTACATCTTACTATGGTATTTTATTCTCTTTCTCTTTTGTTGCATTTTTCTATACTTAGAGTTGAAAATGTTGCCACCTGTTGATTTTGCTTAAAATTTAGCAGCTTTCGGTTGATTGTGAACGGCTTTTAGTTAAAAAAAATGTCGGAATATGAACGTTGCCAAATTTAGCAAGGTGTTTCAATAAATAAAAATAATAAAAATATTGGATGTAAAGTCCAGGTCATTTCGATGTGTCCTTTGGATAAAAAGTAAGGTTGGTTACACTGTCCTGGTCCCTGCATGGCTTTTTTGTTCAATATGGTTGACAGCAACGAGATTTGACGTTTTATCGACAAGCGCATTAATTAATTAATTAAGCGGGTAACTTTGAGTATTTTGTTTAAAAAAAAATCATTTGTGGACATCATTACGTTCAATCAAGTTCTTTGACATTGAAAAGAATTAGAAAACGTTTTAACCTTACTCAAGTTTTCCCCCGTGTTTCCCCCAAAATCAAAAAACACCTTACACCCAGCAATTTTTCAAAATTTACACTGGGAACTGGATACATACGTAGAAATGGCCTGAAGTGTAAAATACGAAGTCCACCACCGTTACAGTTTCTCCCGGTAACATAGGCGGTAAGTGTGTTCAATTTAAAAATCACAAAGTAGGCGTTGAAGTTTCATTTGACACAAACGGCATGTCTGTTCTTATAACATCCATTTTGCAAAAACATAACCTGTTGTATGTTATATGTTATGTTATAAGAACAGACATACCGTTTCTGTTAAATGATGTTCCAGCGCTTACTCTGAGTGATTTTTCAATTGAACACCCGCTATTAACGTGGTAGGTATTACTAGATCCAAATATAAGTAGATGAAATTTTATATTACCGACACAAAGCTACAGTGCTGGACTTTTAATAAAGAAACGTACTTTTATGGACCTATATGTTATTCCAAAATCAAAAATCCACCAACACCCGCAATTTCTTTGAAAATGCAACTGGCAACGTCGCCAGCGTCAGTTTTAGTGGTTTATTGTAGTATGTAATAATTTAAAGTTTTTCTTTTCATTTTACTTACAGTTTCTTTCCATTTCTAACATATATATAAGCAATTTTTATTGTAATTGAATTCAACAACTGGTGGATTTTTACTTCCCGACCGTAAGCTAAGGAACCATTGTAATAGTACGAAAAAACACCTTTCCCGTTTCTGTCTGTCTGTCTGTTGTCTGTGTCGATTTTGTTTCGACAGACAATTGCCGAAACTACCGAAGCGATTGTTATCAAATTTTATATGTGTGTTAGGAATATCGTGTACATACATACAATAGATAGCAAAACGCCAAAATTCTCCCACCAACAATGTGATGATGTCACGTCACCATTTTGAGTAAAAAACTATTTAAATTTTGTAAAATAACAATCCTGTTTTTGTGGTTTATGAATCTGCCTTGATATTTGCCACGTGTTTCATGTATTTCACGCAAGACAAGACTTGACTTTCGGTGCGAGGGTATTGTGGTGACCAAATCTGAATTAAAATTTCGCGCTAAAAAAATTAACAGCGGCGCCAAATCACATTTGAATAATTTTTATTTGAAAAACAAAATTCAATTAAAAAAATCGTTAAACATAGGCAATCATGTGCACGTTAACGTTTTTTGGATAGTTGGTAGCGCGCTAGGGAATTCTAGTTAGAGGGTTGGTAGGGGAAAATATGGCGGCTTGGTAGAGAGGTGGAAGCATCATTGTTGGTATGGTTCTCTGTGTGAGAGCATCGTAAAAAGATAAGTTTAGTTGGTTTGGTAGTTAATAAAAGAGAGGAAGCTTTTGTTTAACGACAATTAATCGTAACGACGACGACGTCACAGTTTTCCCCAACACGCGTAACTAATTCTTGCGGTTTTCTAATCGGAAAAAAGTGAATTTTTGACCGACGCTAGCACGTGTAAATTTTATTCATTGCTTGTAAATTCACAGTTCATGTTAGGAGTTTAATCGTTAACTGGTGCTAACACAATTTAACAAACATTAGATTTATTTAAATAAATAACGTTTCTGGATGCTAATACTTAAGCCTAATATTATAACACTTCCCAATTCTTCACACAAGATTGCTGATAGTTTATTTACTGCAGTTAAATTAACAAAATTCATAATATCATGGACTGAGGGACGGGGGAATTAAAGATTTCTCTCCTTATGCAGTTATCATTGTATCATCACATCACCGAGGAGCTTTCCTCGCAACGCCTGATGAATTTTGTGTTTAATTATTGTGTTTTGTTTGGGATAAGCAGTCCACGATACAAACCCTCAAAACAAATTGTTTTAAGTAACCGATCACTTAGATCATGGCATAATGTAACATCATATAAATTCTTTGTTTGAATCGTTGATAATGTGTGGCAAATATTAATCTCTATCTCACAATTTTAACTTCAGTAATTTTCTTTGTTGTATAATTTAAATTGAACGTAAACTTTCATGCTCTGCAGTTTCTAACTTTACGTAATATTTTTATTTGCACAAATTTTACTTCACACCAGATTGTTTTTTTTTATATATAAATCTTTGCTAGTTTTTTTTATGTAAATATGTTGTGGATGAATGTTTCCATCATATAAATTATCTAATGTCCAATTTTAATATCAAATACGAATTATTTGTGGTTTAAAATTTCACAAGATTGTATGGCGAATTTAAATGTTGTTTATTGCCCTTTTTGAAACTTTGACACTTGTTCAATTGTAGTTTAAAATCAGAGTCATAGAAATTGAACTTTTAAATGGAATTGAGGTTAAATAACACCGAAATACGTGGCAGAAGCGGAGGGTGCGATTCCTAGTCGAGCTGGCGGGATTTATCGTGCCATCTGCACAAAGGATGCAGGCTTTGTATATAAGTCAGGGAAACGGTCTGGACGACGTGCCACTGTCGCTGCATAGTTTTTAAATTTGCCGCCACACGCTCGTAATAACTTGTGTATTTGCATCCAGTTACTTTACTTCAGAGTTTGCCTTGTTTTGTGATATTCAAATATTTGCATTGATTCAGAAGTTTAATTTTATTTCATTTAAAAATGAATTCAATAAGTTTTTTTGGAGCTGAGAAGCGATTTTTTTTTGTCAGTGGAGGAATATAGTATATTATTAGCCAAGGTTGCAGAGCCAAGCATTCTAGACCGAGCGCAAATTAGAACCCGAGACGCGCAGCGTCGAGGGCTCTGAAGCGCGAGGTCTAGAAGTGGCTTTGCAACCGTGGTTAATATACTATTTTTTTCACTAGTAGAAACCATAAGACAATAAACTGAAAAAATAAACGTTCAATTTTTTGACGCAACATGATTTTGTTTTGATTTCTAATCAAACTTAATCTAAATCTTCAACACAAAGAAAACCGTTTATACTTGTCGCTGAGTTAATCATTTTATCTTCTACCGTCTACCAACTACCATGCGTATACTCAAGTAATGTTTGTAGCACACATTTGTTCATTTTTTAAGAAATAATCACATCAAACATTGCGTACATAACCTCAATTTTTCTTTTTGAACCGGTGGTCGCAAAAGTTGAATTTGCTACCTCTAAATGAGTCGACATTTGCATGCGTCATGGCTGCTAGTGAAAAAAATAATTTTGTGTCCTCCATAAATTTTGTGTTTTATTTAGCGGTACTTTTCCAACCTTGGGGTCCACTATTTGCATCTGAACGCATCCCGCCATTTTTCAAAAACACAACGTAGGGTTCCATTTTGTTAGACGATTACAACCAAGGCCAAATTTTGAATTTTAGGCGGGATGTTTGGGTTATCACAGTATTTCTGTCTAAATAAGTTTAGGCCATATCATAATGCAAATATCCCGCCCAAAATTAACTAAATTACAAAATCCGCGAGAAAATCAAATTTGGCCTTGAACTGTAATCATCAACATAGTGGTACCTTGTGGTTTTTTATTAATGGCGGAATGCATTCAAATGCAAAAAAGTGTTCAACCCCAAGGTTGGAACAGTGCTCTAAATCAAGATTCAAAATATAGAGGACAACTTATTTATTCGTTTATTCGTCATTGAAATACACTGGAAGGCTGTTCATTATTTCCCAGCTGCAAAAAACTTTCCAGTTTTCAAAAATGAAATTAAAAGTTACAAATCGATTGGAATTTGACACATTTAAATATACAAAGAAAAAAAGGAAATTACAACACGCAACGTGCGGTTACCACACGATTTATAAAGCTTACTTCCATTTTGCAAAGGAAGCAGCCAGGGAATATTTTGTCATTTTTTGAAAAATGCCAATTTTGCCGTACTCTCCCGTATTAAATTTTGGCCACTCTTGAAACACACTTTAAAAATTAGGTACTTAAGGCGTTTTCCAGTAAATTTCAACTTCATTTTTTCAAAACTTTAAAGAATTTTACCGGAATCGATGAAATGAAAAATGATAATTTTCGAGATATTTAAAAAAAATTCTTTGCACACCGAATTTTACGGAATTTTTTGAAAATCTTGATCCGCGACCAACAAGTTATTTTTTCGTATCAGATGGTCGAAATGTATTTCGGACAATTTTTTTTTTGTATTTTTTTTTAAATATCAATTTTTCCATACCCTCCCGTATGAATTTTTTTAACCATTTTTTAAGTACACTTTGAAAGTTACTCAAAGATATTTTCTTGTAGACTTCGATTTGTAGAAATTATTTTCGGCTTCATTTCCTCAAAAATTCCAACAATTTTTCCAGAATGAATGAAATGAAAACGTCAATTTTGGAAATATTTCAAAAAAATCATTTTCGAACCGAATTTTGTCGAATTCTTCGAAAACTCTTAATCCGGGACGATGGACAAGTTATGTACTTTGAATCAGGGGTCATAATGTATTTCGAAGATTTTTTTGGGAATTGTAGTCAATTTTTCCATACCCTTCCATATAGAATTTTTGCCCATTTTTGAAACACACTTTGAAAATTTTCGAAGACATTTTCTTGTAGATTTTGACTTCATTTCCTCTAAAATTCCAACAATTTTTCCAGAATCGATGAAATGAAAAACGACTATTTTGGAGATATTTAAAAAAATATATTTTCGAACTGGATTTTGTGGAATTTTTCGAAAATCTTGATCCGGGACCTTTGACAAGTTGTGTATTTTGAATTAGTTCGTCGAAATGTACTTCAAAGAATTTTTTGGTGCTTATTAGTCAATCTTTGAAAAATGTAAATTTTTCCATACAGACGGTCACGGCGGCAGATAAACACTCACATGAACAGTGACAATCAGAAAAACTCTACATCTGGGCGCGGAGTCGTCACTATGCTTCTGTCACGTGTTAAAAAAAGTTATAATCTCGAAATCAGTGCGATCGAAATCAAAATAAGATGATGTCAGAAAACGCTCAGCGTACGTCGACACCAAATGTTCAAATTCAAGCTGTAAGAAATGATGTATTAATTAAATCTCTAAGATGGTATTAATTTAACTGGTGCCAATTTTCAACTTTCAAAATGAATCAGTCTTTAAGATTAGTTTAAATCTCGAGTAAGAAGTTATAATGTAATATATTGAATAATAATAATTAATAACTTCCAAAATTTTAAATATTATATCGTTCTTAAAATAAGTTGAGCCAGAAAAGGTTCATTTTCTTCCACGTGTTTTACGGGAACATTTCCATTATTGTAGTTAAATTAAACTGCGAATTTACAAACAATAAAACAAAAATAACACGTGTTGACGAATTTGTCAAAGTTTCACTTTCATATTCGAACATCGCTAATTAACTGGTGTTACACTAGTTACACTCTTTGAAGGGGACAGTGGCGTCGAATGCGATTCACAAATGCCCTTTAGTGAAATTACAAACAAAACTCTACGTACAAATTTTAACACATGTTTGCACTCGCAACACAAAAATAGAAAGTATTCACCAAACCAGTGTGGAAAATAATACCTAGTACCTTACCTTTCCCTAAAATCATAAGAACATAGTGAAAAAAATTAAATACATGTTCACTAAAAATGCACCTTCATGTGCAATATTACTTGTAGGACGATATTGTGTGGTATTTTTTTAAGATTGTTCATACAGAATGTCTCAGAAATAGTGTACCTACCAGTATAAATTCAGTGACATTGCCTCAAAATATTAGTATTCTGAACAGTAAGTTTTCGCAAAAATGTTTGATAAATCGATATTTATCGACCGTTTCTTCATCCTTGAACTCTAAAAACACACAGGTGCATTACAATAAGTATTACGTACGTTGAATGAATCAAAATGTATATACATATTTGATACCCATTTATAAATTCAATAACTCTGAAAAGTAGACTGAAATGAAGCGAATCCAGTTTTTTAACGTTCATGAAGACGACATTTTATCGACATATTTATAATAGTCTACGAAAAAATAAAAACATGAAAATGATGTAACAAATGTTTATGTGTCGTCACCTAAATCATAAACATACGTATCCGAAGTTACGAATTTGCACAAGTGGGTGAAGCTTCTGAAATTCTAACTAACTTAAGTAAGACTGACCTGTTATAACCAACTTAGTAGTCAAGGTAACAAAAGAAACTAATAGTGAGTAAAAATGTCTATTTTCCTCCTTTCTACAGTGTGAAATAGATTTACTCACTTATAAAAAATAAGTGTTCATTAGACGTAAATTTCATTTTAAATGCTACAATGAATTGAAATGTTTGTAAATGGAATAGAGTCGCTACAAATGATCAGCAGTTTACCAAGCACGGACAATCTTCCGATAACGATTGTATACCTACAAGCGTGCACTTCTAAATTTAAATCGCTATTGTATCATCAACAGTGAAATTAATATTTTTTGGTCTAATTATAACTAAATAACACAATTTACAACAATTAACTATTTGTTATATTCACATTCATCTGGATTTTCGATCCCTTTATCAAACGCCGTATACAAAAACAAAATATTACAACTGCACACGAAAAAAAATATATAACAAAACATCAGCGCTTCTTAGAGAGCATCGGCATAATTATAATCTCCACAGCGTGTAAAAAGTGTTCAGACACTAAGAAGCACTGACATGCTTATTTTTCAACATTAAAACGTAAAATTTATAATCTCTGTTGGCATTTTACAAAAAAGAAAGCCTCCCTCAGTCTTTAAGTGTTAAAGAATTAATTGAATCACTAATGAAACCCACATAGTCATTTTCCACTATTTTCAATGTATCTGCCTACTCCTAGACACATAACCCATTTAATTTCACATTATAAAAGTGTAATTCAGTATAAAAATGATTTTAAGTACTTGCATACATTTAAGAAAAAATAAATAAATGAAGCAGGGTTTTCGTTCTTATAATTAAAAGATACTGGCCTACCTAAATTTTCTCTGACAATAAAAGCGAACGATATATGAAGCGACAATGAAATTTTACAGTGAATGTTATAAAACCGAACATTTTATCACTAGCATTATTCAGGTATTCCACGTAATATAACTCACGGTAATATTATCAAAAACGTTTAGTGTGAGAAAAAATAGCGTTTGTAGTCCACTTGGTTGAAAATTTGCAGGTGTTTTAAAACGTTATTGTGAATGAGATCTGGAAGGGCTTTGATATGTTCTAAGTCATAAAGACTTTTTATAAGTAAAAACTATGATATTAAGCAGCAAAGATCCGACTAAAGCAATTTTAAATGATTGATCTGGAAAATGAAAAAGTCATATAAAATTTTACTTTTTTCAATCTTTGTACAAAATCATACGTTACATATAAGAACATGCACTTTCAGGAAATGACTAAATAACGGGTTTTAAAGCACTGAAAATACAATTCATGTGTTATCAAAAACTATTTTTTCTCAGAAATTTGAAATATTAGTGGATAACTAAAATATGGTCCACCTGAGTATTACAAAGTGAACATCACTTAAAATAAAAGCACCAATTTAAAATTACAAAAATGTGACAAAAAAAATAAATTTTTGAAAATCGACTAGACGCATTTATTTCTAATAAGAAAAGTCACGACGTGTATATGGGTAAAGGATGTGCTTCTGAATTAATAACATATGTGTCCAAATCTAACAACTTTGGATCATCACTGAACAACAAATACAAATACTTCAACGTTTCACTCAGAAAGAACGACTCCATCATATCTTTCGGTCTTACATTTAGCGGATTTTTCACATTTCCGATGGAAGTATAACCATTTTTAACCTTTGTGTAATTTTCAAACCCTTGGAAAATTTGCCAACCCCAATCCTGGTAAGTCTTGTTGCTCGTAAATTGGTACACGTACCAAAGACTTTCTATATACTCAGGCCGAAGTAAATTATGAGCATCATTATTCTTCACATAAATATCATTAGAGTTTTCACCCTAAAACAAAACATGTAGAAACTATAAACACTCAATGTGTAATTACTTGAATATTGAAATAAGTAATTTCAGGCGCTAAGAACGTAGGCTGTTGAGCATAGGTCTGATAACATGTTGTAAGTAATTCTTCTGCTAATTTCATATGACTATCTGGAAGACCATTGTGGACACCGAGGGCCAAGGTACCAGGTAAGTAACAAGTAAGATGGTCCATCTTTGGTTTAAAATCTTTACCACCAACAAGCAATTCCCCAATGAAGAGAAAACCATTAGGAACTGTTCTTCGTACCAAATTTTTCTCAACTCCTGTTATACTTGTGACATAATCATCTCTTAAACTGTTTTAAAATTAAAATGTGTTGTTTAAAAATAGACAACTTACTAATCAATTGTTTTGCCTGTTTGTAACCACTGTTTGAGTAAATATTCATAATAACTATCACCTCTAGCTCCCAATGTGATGGTGGCATAAGATCTAAACTGACCCGTGTTTGCATTTATAAAAATAGGAACTAACCCATCTTTCTTTTCTAAAGTGTGAATGTGTTGTGAGACTTTAGAAACCACATTCTACAATTGAATAATTTTTACAATGGATGGATTTTTGTTAAAGAAAGATAACCTACTTCATATTTAGGGTTTCCCGTGGCCCTACTTAAATCTCTAAACTCCAGCTGTATTGTAGTCACTTCCGATGTACTACTGTCGGGAGACCACTTTGGTGCATGTGCTTTTCTTGTAAATAAATTAACATCAGAATATGGAATTCCTGATTCTGATTCAAAACTTGGCAGTAATCGATCAGCTAAATCAACCTAGAAAAAAAATCAGACTAGACTAGTTCTTGCTAAAAAATCTTGACACTCACAGCTTTGGTAAGAAACATCTTGTCCTGAGTCAAATGATAAATACTGAGTAGACCCCCTAGAACTCTGATTGTTACTTCAAACAAATTCACATCTCTGTTCACATCAAAATGTAGATGTTTTTCAACCCAGTCTCTTGCTTCATTATATTCTATAAAAATATTTCATTACTATGAAAATTTTAAATATAGCTGCTACCTTTCGTTAGCCCCATAATATAAATTGTGTCTATTGAATCTATTATAGTTAATCCAAGCCCAAACCAATCATTGTATCCTTCAGTGATTGGCTTTAAATGGTCATGACCCCATGCAAATTGCTTATATCCCTGCCATGCATGCTTAAATGCTTTTACAACTGCTTCCTGTCGTGGTGTTGTAGGCCCAGTAAATTTCTTTAAAATTTTCGGGGGCAAAAGAACCTGATTTCTATTGTTTTCAATTTCAACACCTGCAGGCTCTTCGAGGACCTGTCCCCCATGCTCCATTTCGTTGAAGATTGTATCGACGTCTCTGGGGTCATTTCTAATATTACTTAACACTTCTTTTCTGCTATCACTCACAATTTCAGTCATACTACTTAACTGTGTCTTGTCTGACTCCGTGGACACCAAATAAAATACAGTTAACGTCAACACAATAACCACTGTGTAAATACAATTTCTCTGACATTTAGAAAGTTCGTTCCAGTGCTAAAATGACGAAAACAATTTTATTAATACATATAATTCACTACCGCTGCGTGTTTAATTTACCCTTTTCAAGCTTTTGCTTCTTCTTTTATCATGGATGTTTTCACTACCACCAGAAACGTCAAGGGTTACATGGTCCATTTTTACGGGGTTTTAAGACATCTGCATAATTTTAAACATTGGGTACTCACTAGACAAATACTCGTACCGGACGAGAATAATTAAAGTTATCAAGTTCAACAACACATCACAAAATTAGAAAAATTAAAATGTTGTGTCAAAATTTTAATTCGTGCGTCAGCTGTCACATGTCAACATTCAGTATCAACGTAAAATTAAGTTTCAAAAGTAACTAGAGCGCATCTCGAGAATCCTACCTAACCTAATAAATCGCCGAAACTGTAAACACAAAAATTAGAAATACTAAATTATTCCACGATGTTGGCCGTACAAGGTATGAATCAGTCTGGAATTCCAGACAAAATGTGGCAGCCACCATGCGTGGCCTTTGAAACAACGTAAGTCGGTACTTTTTTGGTGTTCCGTATATTTGGAAAGTATTGTTACAGAATGGGAGAAATTACCATTGAGCTGTACTGGAAACACGCCCCACAAACTTGTAGAAACTTTGCAGAATTAACGAGGCGAGGTTATTATAACAACACAATATTTCACAGAGTGATAAGGGACTTTATGATACAGGGTGGAGATCCCACAGGTACGGGTAAAGGAGGGCTTTCAATTTACGGACAAACGTTTAAGGATGAAATACATCCAGAGCTGAAACATAGTGGGGCGGGGATTTTGTCCATGGCCAATTCTGGACCTGATACGAATGGCTCACAGTTTTTTATTACTTTGGCCCCTACACAATGGTTGGACGGAAAACATGCTATTTTTGGAAGGATCCAGGCGGGGATGAATGTTGTAAAGAGAGTAGGTTTAGTGGAAACGGATAAAAATGACAGACCAGTGGATGAAGTGAAAATAATTAGAGGAAAAGTTATAAAAAACTAATAAATTAGCTGTAGGTTTTTTACTTAATAAAGACAGTTTTTTAACTTAACAAAAATGCGGGAAATGTTAGGGTTAGGATTGGTCAGTGGCGAGTTCAGCATTACCTAAACCTAAACGCAAGAAATGTCCCTAGACCCTGCCGTCAACAAAAGTAAGATTGACACATGTCAACCACAAAAACGTCAATAATGATGCGTGCATTTTTTTAAATTTCATACCACAATAATTTAACTAGTATTTTTTAATATGCACCGAAAAATAGATTCGAAAATGATTTTAACAGACCACTTTGCACAATCATCCTAGTTTGTAAGTTTAATCAATATTGAATTTAAATTTTGAAAGGAAGCTTGTGTGCAACATTTGTAGTGGATCATTTATTTATATCCAGACCTTGGGATTAAAGAATTTGTCGCAGTAACATTACGAAATACGTAAAAAAGAGTCCTTACAATGGATAATAACAGTATTAATGTTCACCCACTTACGAATAACCCCACTGCTGCATGGAAAGAAATATTTAAAAACCAGAAAGTACTTAAACTGAATGTTAAGACACCTTGCAAACCAGCGGAACCAAATAAAGTTAGATTTGTATGTATGAGTGATACGCATTCTCTCATACGAAACATCACTTTTGACGTCCCAGATGGTGATGTATATATTCATGCCGGAGACTTTACAAAATGTGGCCAAAAAGAGGAAGTTATACAATTCAACAAGTGGTTAAGTATATAACTTAAAAGTAATATATATTTTTTAATAACAGCTGCATTGTTGTAGTGTCTTTACCTCATAAACATAAAATTGTGATATGTGGAAACCATGAACTAAGTTTTGATAAGAAGTTTTCAGACTGTTTTAAAAAAACGGTTTCATCTAGACACACTGGTTCTCTGGAAGATGAGGTTCCTAATTATGGAAACACAAAAGACAACATCAATGATGCTGTGAATACTGAGAACGTAAGACAGTATTTAACTAATTGTATATATTTAGAAGACTCTGCAATTGAAATTTATGGTATTAAAATATATGGGACGCCTTGGTGAGTATTAGACATTTTTTATTTGTGTGGATTTTTTTATGTATCATATTAGGCAACCAGAATTTGGGGGTTGGGCTTTTAATCTACAAAGAGGCGAAGAATGTCTTTCTAAATGGAATTTGATTCCAAATGAGACAGACATACTCATCACCCACACACCTCCTTTGGGTTATGGTGACCTAGTTTGCTCAGGGGTTAGGGCTGGCTGTGCTGAATTATTATCAACCGTGCAACAACGGGTGAAACCTAAATATCACGTTTTTGGACACATCCATGAAGGTAACATGAAGGCACTATTTGTGTTACAAATCAAGTTGTAATTTTTTCAGGCTATGGCGTATTTTCTGATGGAAAAATTATCTATATCAACGCTTCAACATGTGATATTAATTATATACCTAAAAATATTCCAATAGTTTTTGATGTTCCTTTGCCAGAAGGGCAACTTAAAGACTAGGAAAGCCCCTCACCTTGTAAAGCTTCTTTTGTAATTTAATTTATACTAGTTTTAATCATTTTATACAAAGTGGTGCAAAAAATGCTGAAAATGATAACTGGCTTTTATTTATTGTGCATGCAACATTGTAACATTTCCACGCTCTCTCATAAAATAAAACTCGCCAATTATAGACATATTTTATTGCAATAATTCTATCTCAAAATATAACAAATTCGACGGAAAAAATGACAATTATGGCCACCTTATGACAGTATCATTTTAAAACAAATGTTATAAAACACAAAAATGTCTAACATTTTCGTTAAAAAATCATCTAGAAATTACTAAAAATCTATTCTTACTAAACGATATTCAAGAGGTAAAATAAAAATATTAATTACTTTTAAAGATTCATTATACAACAAATTCTCTTTTTAATTTAATGAAAAAGGACTTAATAAGGAACATTCGAGAATAGATATGACACTGATTCACCGTTGTGTGTTCGTCGTACAGCCTCCGCGAACATCATGGAAACATCGATGCACTGAAAAAAAAATAGAGAAACAAATTAGTCATATACTACAAATAACGAGTAGCTTTATTTTTCCAACAAAATTTGTCGCTCAATGCAAAAATTTTATTTTACTGACCTGTATTTTCGAACAATCCTTCATGTGTGCGTCTTGTGGGATCGTATTCGTGACGACGACAGCCTCAAAGCAGGCATTATTTATTCTCTGTATCGCCGGTCCTGAGAATATACCGTGCGTTAAAATAGCGTACACTTTCGTAGCGCCCGCTTCCGTCAACTTTTCAGCGGCGTGACAAATTGTACCGCAAGTGTCCGCCATATCATCAACCAAAATTGCAACTCTGTCCTTAACATCTCCTACGAGCACCATTGAGGCCACCTCGTTGGCCTTTTTTCTTTCTTTGTGGATAAGCGCGAACTCTACGTTAAGCCTGTCTGCAATTGAGGTAACCCTTTTCGCGCCACCCGCATCTGGTGACACTATGATACTGTTCCTCCACTCGACAATGTTTTCTTTAATCCATTTCAAAACGGCAGGTTCTGCGTATAAATTATCGACTGGTATGTCGAAGAATCCTTGGATTTGTGATGCGTGCAAGTCCATCGTGATAATGTGGTCTGCTCCAGCTACCGACAACATGTTTGCCACCAATTTGGCCGAGATGGGAGCACGGCTCTGTTGATCAGAAAATTATCAAAGCATGCATGAGGTACATTTGCAACTGAATGACGCAAGGGACAAACTTTAATACCAAAAATGTTGCAAATGCACCAAGGACGTTAAAAGCTGACGAAAATTCCCAAGCAAATAACCAATGCTTTCTAGTTTCTAATTTAATAAGTCTCCCAAATTAGCGGGTTTTTGCAGTGTTAGTAATATTGAGTATTATTATTTGCCCCTTATCAGTAACTCCAAGATTACAATTTGAAAGAAAACATATTTGTGATATTACTTTCGTCATTGTTCGACTGATAAACTATTAAGAAAAACAGTAAACAGATAATGACTATTAACATTTGACATTTAGAGACACATTCGTACACGGGGAGAAAAATAACGCAAATAATTGTGAAAGTTTACCAAGTTTAGAATTTGTACATGCAATCCCAAGAAGTCAGAAACATATTTTTCAGTGATTGTTTTTGGAAGACGCGGACAATTACTACATTTCTATTACCCATGTTAGGATCACGATGACAACACCCGCGATAATGAAAACTAAACATAAAAGGGACGCATTTTAAACCTGTGTATGACTAACATGATAATGTGGACATCACTTTCCCAATAAGCCCTTGCTACATTCACAAAATTTTATATTTTTACCCTGAATTTCCATTCAATAGACTTCCACTTTTCCACGTTGCGTTCGACGTCATTACTAGTAGAGGGCTAAAAGCATTTTGTAGAATAATAAAAAATATAAAAATGTTAATACTAGATAGCAAGAAAAAAATCAAATCTAACTATCCTTAGATAAATAAAAACTAATTATGAATTTTAGTTCAATTCTTGGAAGTAACAAACATATGTACAAAATTTCCATCTCTCTAAAAAAATTTTATTTGGCAAATGAAAACAATATCCATTTCAAAAAAGCTTTTAAAAAACTGTAAAGTCGTCAAAGTCAGTACAAATTGTGTACTGATATATAAAAACGAGCAAATGTTTAAAAATTCAAGTAGGAGACAAGTTAAAACAGGTAACTCTTCTGTTACAGCATTATTTTTAGTCACGCCTACTCAACTCCTACACAAATTATCTCAATGACAAATATGAAAGTAGAAATAAGTCTTGCTTTATTAAAGATAGACCATAAAATGTTGAACTGTATTGGTGATTGGTTGGCAACTTTAAAGTTTACTCAGTTATTTAAATGTTCGTGTCCATGGAACTTACTAACTTTACGAAAATTATAAATTACTTGGTGATGAAATTTGACATAGTTACACTGATTTAGAACATCTTTTTAAATCAAATGACATCATGAAAGTCAATCTAATTTTAAGTACTGCAATTAGAAGATTAAGTTACAACCCACAACTTGTTCCATGTTTATTACCTTGGAGGGAACTGTGTATTAAAAATTATTTTTTGAAAAACTTTTGGACCTCTTCACAAAAACTATGATATTGTTTAATGTTACAAATGATTTTTTAAGTCATTTATTATAACCGAAAAGAAATAATTCAGTTAAAAATTTTAATCGCTTGTAAATTCTAAGATGATAAGTTCAAATATACATACTTTCTTACGTCACTGTTATATTCATTTCTGTGAAAATTCTGGCGTTAAAATTCAAGTTATTTATCTTTATAACTGTCATTGCAACATATTTACATATTTTTCACAATATTACAATTATTCCTCAATTGTAAGAATGACGAGGGCGACTGATGCAAGTGGTTTGCTTTATTTCTTCATCCCACTACGTCTATTTACCCCTTTTGATTTAAGATACCAAAATCACAGTTATAATTAACTACTCAGAATGAGACTGAGTTACACCAAAAAATGACATTTTCGTTCATACCGGGTGTCTGGAAAATGGCGAATTAACTCTTCAGTACGTGATGTACGGGGCTCTCGGAAGTCCCAAAAGATTAATAAAAAAATTCTTTATGATGTAGATTACGAAAAAAACCTAGTACCTGTTGAGATTGATTTTGGCAAATGACATATGCTCTGATTTTAGCAAATGACGTATCCTCTAAGAAATTTTATAAGAAAATACACCACAGGCTTCAAAGCACTTTCAAATTCTTTCCAAACAGCAATATATAGAACCTCAAGACTGTTTTAAAATTTTCAAAAAAAAAGGGTCCCAAAACTAACGCAAAACCAAAGTCAAGTCAAAATTTTCCAAACATAGAACACCAAAGTCCCCCAAAATTGTTATAAATAATTTACAAAAAAATCTCCATGGGCTCCCATGGTTGTTAAACGAACCAATTTTAAAATCATTATAACTCCACCAAAATGTGAGAAGCATTTTTTTTTGCTATTTTTCCTAGACTCACCCGTTAATTGTTAAAAGCGTAGCGGAGAGTTAATCAGCCATTTTCCAGACACCCGGTATAATGTTCCGCTCGTCATTAATTTTTTTTAAGGCCTTACGCAGTAAATAACATTTTTCATTTCCAATTTTCAAATAATTAAAATATTTTTTTTAAAAACCCTAAAAACAATTAAAGTAGAAGAAAAATTGAATTCATTTCACTATGTTGTTACTGTCTTGTATCCAAGATAATGAAGTTATTATTAGAATGTTATTCACTTTTTTTTGTAAGTTCTGTACCTAAAACAGAATCAACAACTATTGCGTGTGCCACATAAAGACCATACATTTCGTAACACTAGAAAAAAATGGAGCTTCGACCATGCATTTAATGACCGGCATTTTCACCCCCAACAGTATCAAATTCCTTTTTATCACAAAACTGATTTCAAGTGCGTCAACACAACAGGCCATAAGAAAAGTCTAAAGTTAAATCTCGTATCTCTCCCTGCTGATAATGGTTTCCATTAATTTGGCATATAGTGATCTTAGAGTATTCTTAAGTTTAGTTATGTCTGTTCTCTAAAAACTGCGTGGTAGTAATATTTGAAGAAACACGGTAAGCGTTTTGTTCTTTATAATCCAAGATAGTAGATATTGTAAATATTCAAACATGTGGTGACCTTCACAAATGCAGAAACAAAATATGTATTGCAGTCAACAATTAAAGTTTTATTCCAAAATGGTTTAGAGTCTAAGGGCCTCTTTACAGATTACAACTGTACTATTTCGCATCAAAATATTATGAATAGTTTAATACCAGAACCAGGAAAATGTCTGTTCTTATCGTTGGCTAGTTATAATTAAAAAACAATTATTTGTACGTTAGAAGTATAAGTAATGACGACCCTGCGGGAGTCCAACTGATTCCTCTTATTTACCAGTTTTTACGACGGTCCATCTTATCTGTTTCGTGGTATTAATTAAGACAATTAAGAGCTCAAACAGATGATTTCGCGCCAAAATCTGAAAATCTAATAAAACGAGACCACACACACTTTTCAAGGCTGCACGTAAAATTTTTGTACCAGAAATAATTCCACTTTATGTTGAACCTATAAAATTCCAACAACTAATAATAATAAAATCATCAATGGAACTCAATAACAGAAATTTACAACCAACTAGACTTTTTGTTTTGCATCAAAGTTAACAAACAAGCGAAGGAAATTTATTCTGTGGGGATAATCAGATGACCATTTTGGTGTATTTTTCAACGGTTAAATTTGCTATGTGGTCGGTTTCAAAAGTACAATAAAAAGTATAGTCTGTTCACAAAACCTGTAACTACCATAAACAACCTCAGCATCGGCAATAATAAATTAAAAAAAAATAGTACAAAGGAACAAAAAATAAAGACAGTCGCATTTAGATGCATTTAAAGATTACACAATCAGAAACAAAGGTTTCAAGATATAATTTGAGTTTAGATAATTCATTATAAACGTGATAGGAAATGGAGTGCATATTAATTGTTACTAAACGCATATAGCAATTTGTGCTATTCAACCTAGAGTCAAAACAATCGTGGGTATATTTATACCCTTTTACGATTTGCGCTAACCCCACAACACCTATATTCGTTGTTCGATAAAAAAATTGATGCTGTTTGATACCAAATCATGAAAAAGTGGGTTATACAAACAATTACGCCTCTACGATTGTCAAATTCAGTACAATGGCGGAAAAATTACACAATTCTAATTAGTGACGAGATTTGATCCTGATGTGGCACAAAATGGCTGTTTTTTCTGTGTAGTACCATAAAGGGCTCTACCCCTTCAACAATATTTGAACTTTCCCACTACTATTACCCTACTAGAATTTACAGTGTGATGTGTAATAGATACCAGTGACAGAATTCCTTTAATTTTTTATGAAACAGTGCAACAGAAAAAAAGTAATTTGGTACAAAACTATGAAACAAAATACATACAATACAACATTACATTTAAATTTTCACTAACTACTGTGCAGTGGCGCCCTCGCAAGCACGTGCAATCTCCGCATGTCACATATGTCATTTTATAACGGTACAATCAATCAATGAAAAACTGAATGAATGGAGTATACCATCATCTTTGACAAACATCTGAATTTAATATGAACATCATTCTACGTCAAAAACGACAATTGACACGTCAAACGTTTCTGCTACTTCAAAATCAAAAATAGCTTGTTTGAAAATCCACTTGTGGATGTATACAAAGTCACGTGTTTTGCAGGTTATCTGCACATGTGCGAGTTTATAATTCTTGTACTCACCTTGTCTTTTTTGTCCTGGCGAGCATAAGGGAAACACGGGATGACAGCCGTAACCCGGCTTGCTGATGCAATTTTACACGCATTTATCATAATTAGAAGTTCCATTAGGTTATCATTGACTTCGCCGCTGCCTGACTGTACAATATACACGTCTTCGCCTCGTACCGACTCTCCGATTTCGACGCTGAAAATCGATACGACTGAAGGAAAACTGTCCCTTGCAGGTTACACGCGATGTCGGGGACGTTATTAAACCCGAAGACCGGCAAAATCTCGCTTAATTGAAGAATATACTCACCATGTTTCTAGGTTGCTGAATTTCTTCGTCACCACTTTTCCCAAGTCGATTCCCAACCGGTCCACGATTCTCTGGGCCAAATCTGGATGGGACGTCCCGCTGAAGACTTTGATGTTAGGCATTCTGCTTCTAAGAAGACTCGAAGACTTTTCTAGGTTCGCCCGCAACAAGCTTTTGGCACGGACGGTTTGGGATACGGGCATAACTGCAAATCGAACAACCAATCAGATTCGGGGTCTAATGTTATCAGCAAACAACGCTCCAGAATGATAAACCTGGTGACGAAATGTCCCTGCTTATCGAATCTTTCCATTCACGGTATCTTCGAAATTATCGCAAACGGGCACCCTGGGGGGCCATTTACGTCATTGTTGCTAAGTTCCTGCGAAAATCCTTGACGAATATCGAAGATTTTACCCCAACCAGCAGGTGCACGAATTTTGTAAAGTTGGCTATAATGCCATTGAAAACAAGTGACATTTCATTTAGCATTTCGTATTTTGCCTAACTTCAGTGAGAAATTAAAAGTGTGAAAGTCGATCTTTAGTCAGTGTATTTTTTACTTTAGTCATCAGATTATTATTTTTTAGAATTACCGTTTTATCTGTTATGTTGATTTACTCCTTTTTCTGAATTTCCAAGCCCCTGAAAGGTAATGGCTAACATAGCTGCACAAAGGATACGACGAGAGTTTAAAGAGGTTATTAAAAGTGAAGAGGTAGGAATCGCTCCTCAAATACAATTTTTACTCTTGTGTCATTGTTTGTTATTATTTTTATAACCGTAATTCATCAAAAACTATGCTTACCTTTATCCCCAGACATGTTTAATTTTCACACTTGCAAAGACCAGTGTTCAAAGTAAAATTATTGATTAAAGTACTGAAAAATGCCCCCTGACATAAATTAAATCTGTAGGGGTTATCAGACTTAACGTCATTTCGTAACAAATAATAACAAACTTGGCTAACATGATGGTGTTTACTTTAATGTAGGTAGCAAAATGTGCCATCAAAGTAGAGCTTTTAAATGATAGCTATACAGAGCTTAAAGGAGAAATCACAGGACCCCCAGATACAGCCTATGAAGGGGGCGTTTTTGTGTTAGAAATAAAAGTACCTGAAACATACCCCTTCAATCCACCTAAGGTAATCGTGCACTTAAAATTAACCCCAATTCATACTCGGCAATATCTGTCTTTTAGGTAAGATTCATCACAAAAATATGGCACCCGAATATATCGTCAGTAACAGGAGCGATTTGTTTAGATATATTAAAGGACCAATGGTAAGTGTCAACTTGACTTTTTGTATCTTTTCAAACAAAAACTTATTCCAGGGCTGCCGCAATGACTTTGAGGACAGTTCTGTTGTCATTGCAAGCACTACTGTCAGCTGCAGAACCAGACGATCCACAAGATGCTGTTGTAGCAAAACAATTTAAAGAAAATATAGAAATGTTTCAAATGACAGCTAGACATTGGACAAATGTTTATGCAGGCGGTAGGTTCTTGTATTTGCTGAAATAATCGTAGCACGTTAATTTCCAGGTCCTCATGTAAATAAAGAGTGTGATGATAAAATTAAAAGGCTAGTTGATATGGGAGTAGAAGAACATCAAGCGCGGGTCGCATTGTCTTCATATAACTGGGATATAGAACGAGCAACAGAGCAGATATTTAGTTAGTGAAATATTTTTAATCCGCCATTTTACTTTTTCTCTCTACAACCTTTCCAAACAGTTTCATTATGATCTACATGCCACATTTTTTAATGCTATAACTGTTTATGAAGTTAAATTATTTTGATATCATGTATTTACAGACCTCAGTTCTAATTTTAATAAAAGGGATGGAATGTTTGCATTTACTTCAGTGACACTATTTAAATTTTTTGTTTAGCAATTTAAAATTTGGCCAAGTTAAAAATCGTTTCCAGATGCGAAAAGTGTATTTTATACTTTTGTCACATTGGTGTTTGAAATTTATTGATGTTACAGTTTCAGCTTACAGTTAGTTACTACATGTATAAAGTTTTTCATTTAATTACACTGGTATCTTGATAGTATGAAACACCAGTTTTCAAATGCAGCAGTTTAGGCTTCTTAGCACCTTAGTAGTAATTGGATGAAACACTTTGTATACTAATTTTCCTATAATTAGTTACTGTTTTGGTTTTGTAAATCGGCGATTGAATACTGTTAATAAAAATTTAATCTTGCATATAAACGTTGAACATAACACTACTTCATGATGCCTTAATAATTTGAGAATATTTTAGCCAGATTAAGTCATTGCCCTAGTTTGTATCTTGAATGATTAATAATTCTAATAGTGAGTTCTTAAATAGGGTCATCTGAGACCAATAGTAAAGAATCCATTGGACTGTTCAATTAAAAAAAGTGGGTAAATTATTTATTTGTTGTGATGTATGGTTGAAGTTGTTGTATACTGATCAATGAAAGTTAAGAATCCAAAAGAGATTTTATGCACTCAAATGCTAGTAAATTCTGTACTGAGATTTTTGCTCACAATAACAAAATTAGATGTTTTGTGGTGCAATTTTACGTAAAACCCGCAAATGTGCAATAATACAATGGTAATTTATCATAGAACCTAATAACTTAAAATGAGTAAATGGAGAAAATCGTGTTTACAGGATATCATGTGTTTTTTATATTTACTTTATATAAAGTCAGCAGCGACAACAAAAAAGTACATGAAATTGACAAATTATGAATTTTAGTGGATTGCCACATGATGCTATATACCTGATTGTATAAATAAATTATAAATAAAATTTTGTAATTTCCTTGGAGGCTTGTTACGCTAACATCGACCAAACCGTAAAAAATTTGGGCAATGTGAAAGCAATTTTACGAAACTTATAAAACAATCACGAATAAATTAGTTGGAATAATCCAACCGTTGCATACATTGTTTTTATTTTTTTTCAAAGCTAGCCATAAAAGCACGCCATTTAAAACGTAAAGACCAAAGATCTACAGGTTATTGCTTTTTTATTTATTTATACTTGTTTGAAAAATCTTTTGTGTGCTAATTTTAAAATTTGGCCTGTTGTCAAAGTCAGATTGGTCGAATTTAGTCGTACGTCAATGACCTAAAAAAACGACAAAAAATCAAGATCTTTCACATACTGCAACGATTGTATTATTTATTAAGTTATTAAAAAACCAAAAGTCAGTGTTGTAGGTATTTTTATCCCTATGTTGTTATTTGTGCTTTGTTGTGATACTTATACAAAAAAGTAATTACGGTTGCACAATTTTGAGTTTATGGATTTATAAAGTGCGACAGAACTATACGTAAAAGCTTATCGCACAATTGTACGATTTGTACGTAGCACGTAAGACGTACGTTGTTAGACGTAAGGGAAATGTGAACTAATATGGAGTGAAAATAGAGGAAATGAAGGAAAACGAATTTCAATTTTAAAAATCAACGTGTTGTACATGTCGTCGCGATTGCTGAAATAAGGATGTTGCCAAATAAAACAATGTTCGTTAAATGTTGTCTCACGTGATGTGTATGGCAAAAGCGCCAATTTTGAACTTGATTTCTCAAATAATTGCCTAGTTCCCCCTCTCTTTAAAATCATGTGTTTAATTGCTGCAATATTGTTTAGAAGTAATTTCAGCACGAAAGGGTACAGGGGCGGGGCTTAAGTTGCGCGACTTGTAGCCGGGCCATCAGTGGCGTAACATCGATGCATTGAGAAGGGAGGCTCGGCTGAGTTGTACTTCTTTCAAAAACAATTAAAAAAAGAGCAATTTCTACAAAAGAATACAGACAACCATTTAATAAAAATAAATTAATTTGTTTGTTTGTTAAAAAAATAGACTTGCGTAACAATAAATTATGATAATCTATCACACAAAATTTATTATTTTTAATTATTAAACGAGTTTATAATGTGAGGGATTATAGCATGAGTAAAAAATTTCACGAACCCCTCATTATAAACCAGTATCATATACTATTTTATAGTCGACTAGTCTTAAATCAACAGTTAAACCTTTAGATAAAAGCGGGCTTAAAACTCTGAGAATAAGTAACCTATGACTATAATTATATGTTTTTTTATTTTCTAGCACAATTTATCGATACCGTAAAGTCGGATTATAATAACGCTTAACGTTTTCTGTCTTTAACATCGAAGTAATAATCACAGTTCATATTCTAGCATAATTGTCGTTTATAACTAGAGCTTCGACTGTACCCTAATTTAACAGTTTTTATTGCTCACTAAAAATTACCTTTTTACTTCTTTTACTTACTTTTTTATTCAACTCATACATCAAATACAGCACTAATAATTGTTTAAATTCTTTTTCTATAATGTCAACGCTAATAAAATAGAAAAGTGATATTTTTATTAACCGCAATAATATTTTAATATTTAAAATCGAAATATTCATCGCCGCTGCCACTGCTTGCACGATATTTGTGAGGCCAAACCAAAACAATGTTCTGCGCACTCCCACCACCTGTACCCTTTCGTCTTGAAAGCTGCTTTATCATCCGTCTATTTAGGAATAAACATCTGCACAGGCGCAAGATGAAGATGAATAAAAGCAGAACGGTACTGAAAGAAGAATAAAGTAAGAAATACAATATAGATCTAAGGGTGTCCCTTTTTCACTAACCCACCCTGTACATAGAGGTAATACATATATCTGAAATACCTTGGATCATATAATAAAAGGAAATACCGACGCGTTTTCCCAGAAGTTAATACTTTTATCCGATTGAAATGGTATCAAGAATAATATAATAATTACTTAATTTAAACTAATTAAGTATCCTATTGTGATCACCCAAACATCCCGCCTTAAATTGACATGTGAAAAAAAATTGAAAGCGCACGATAATTTCAAAAATTCAAAAATTTGGCCTTGGCTGTGATCGTCCAACAAAATGGAACCCTACGCTGTGTTTTTTTTTGTGGCGGAATACGTTCAGATGCAAGTGATGGACCCCAAGGTTGGAAAAATACCGCTAAATAAAACACAAAATATATGGAGGACACAAAATCATTTATTCCTCCACTGACAGTAAAAAAGCTGTGACTAAGTTGCGCTGGTAGGGAGCGTTGTAGCACGAGCGGAGTTTGGGGCTCCTGGTTGTGGCTGTTCTTCCACCACGAGGGTGATTCTACTCTATCGGCAAGCATGCCGCCCAGCACCCCTCTATCGTGAAGAAACGTGCCGTCCGAGCAGGCCGTTACGGTTGCAAACTCGTAGTTGGAAATCCCGGCTATTGGGCCAAACCCCGATCGTCACGTCATCCCGATCGCTCCACCGATTTCTATTTAAGATCCGCGTTTTTTGTCTAGGTGGTGCGATAAATCCCGCCAGCTCGACAAGGAACCGCGCCCTCCGCTTCTGCCACGTGTTTCTGTGTTATTTACCCCAATTCCTCTTTAAATGTTTATTTTCAATAACTCTGATGTCAAACTACAATAGAACAAATGTTAAAGTTGCAAAAAGAGCAATAAACAGAAAAGAATTTCATCTGAGATTAAGATTGGACCTTAGATCATATAATAAATAGATACCACCATGCCGTGTTCTTTCCCTAGGACAGCCTGTGACGACATCCTCCTTTCACACATCTTTCTCGTGCATGGAGGGATTACAATGAAGCTATCCTTGCCTGATCACTATTTGAATTTTGCGCGCCTAAATTTTAGGAAGTATGTCTGAACTAACTTCGGAAGAAAGATGTTGACAGCTTGATTTTATAAATAATTCACAGTAGATAACGAAAGCAATAGTAAATTATTGGGCAGCAATTGTGATCCTTTATGACTACATCACTTAAAATAGGATCTTTGTTCTAAATTCTAAAATTGTTTTTTGTACAACTCGAAAGAGAGGTTAGAAGAAACATCTGTCAAAAGCGACTTGTTGCGCTGGTGCGGTACAAGGATGGAAGTGAAATAGACATATACAGATGAAATGCATATAACAAAGATGAAGATGTGGTGATCACACAAGGATAGCATTATACTACTCCCCTGGACGTAGAAAACGACAACAGATAGCTTCATGTCTAGTCACACCTTTCAGTTTGAGTATTGGTATCTATTTATTATATGATCTAAGGATTGGACATCAGACAATTTATATGATGGAAGCATTATTCAACAAAATATTTACGTGGTAGAAATAACTAGCAAAGATTTATAAAAACAAAAAAGTCTGGTGTGAAGTAAAACTTGTGCGGACAAAATAATTACGTGAGGTTAGGAACAACTGCAGAGCATGAAAATTTACGTTCAATTTAAATTATACAACAAAGAAAATTGCTGAGACTAAAGTTGTGAGATAGAGAAAAATTGCAAAGCTAATAAAATCACATGAGTTTAATATTTGCCACACTTTATCAACGATTCAAACAAAGAATTTACATGATGTTAAATTATGCCACACTTTATCAACGGTTCAAACAAAGAATTTACATGATCTTAAATTAGCCTTGATCCAAGTGACTGGTTACTTAAAACAATTAGCTGTGAGAGTTTATATCATGAATTGTCTTCGCTTATCCCAAACAAACACATGATAAATAAACACAAAATGCATCTTGCGTCGCGAGAAATATGCTGATGATAACTGCCTAAGGCGAGAAATTTTTAATCCCCTCGTCCCTCAATCCACGATATTATGAATTCTAGCGCACTTTCCACAGTCCTTTTCTCAAAGTGGGACAGCGTTAGGTTGATTTAACTCCCATAAATGAACCTAATGTTATTAGCAACTTTGTGTGAGGAATTAAGAAGTATTATAATGTAACACTTGAGTATAAGCACCCAGAATCCTTATTTATAACTTGATAAACAAATGATGAGTCCTGACTAAGTGAATCTCAGGAGCTCTCCTAGCAAGTGCCTTGTCTGAACAATCTCATGACTGTAAATTGTGTTAGAACCAGTAACGATTAAAATCCTAACATGAACTGTGAATTTGCAAACAATAAAACATTTTATTTTATGTGTTGGCGTCGGTCGAAAATTCGCGTCTTGGGGAAACTGTGGCGTCGTTATCGGTTCGATTCATTTTCATTAAAGGCTTCCCCCTTTTTTTAACTACCAAAACAACTAATGTTTTACCACGTACTTTTACTCACACCAAAAACAACAGTGACGCGTCACCACCCTCTAGCAAACCACCCTCTCACTAGATACTGTCTAAAAATTCCCTAGGAGAGCTACCAACTACCAGAAAAGAACTAAACTTGCACATGGTTGCCTATGTTTTACGATTTTCTTGATTGAATTTTTTTTCAAATTCAAATTATTCAAATGCGATTTCGCGCCGCTGTTTTTTTTCAGCGCAAAATTTTGATTCAAATTTAGTCACGACAAGATATATCGGAAATACCTTGAATCATATAATAAAAGAAAATACCGACGCGTTTTCGATGAAGTTAATACTTTTATCGTATTGAAATGGTTTCTTGATCAAGACTATCAAGAGTAATATAATAATGACTTAATTTAAACAAATTAGAATTATGGTTAGGTATTAAGACTACTACTACTTTTTACGGTTGTTAATGTTAAGTATTAATTGATAATTAAAATTAAAATAAATCTGCAGGTTTTGGCATCATCTCATGGTACCTATATTATTATGTAACAAGTTTTATAAGTGCCTCTTTAGTCACGAGTTTATTTAGGCACGAACGGAGCTAGTGTTTAAAAAACGACTGTCTAAAGAAGTTCATAAACGTGTTACATAGAATACTTTTTCTACTACTTCAAACTAAAACAACTAAAACCATAAATATACAATTTATTGTTAACTGTTTTATTAGGAATTGTAGACATTAGGAACATTACACATTTTTGTAACTTTTTTTACTTAGGTAAGTAGACATTAATGGTCACATTGGAGAAATTTTGGCAATTATTAAAAGAAATCGTTGCTTTCCCCAAGTTTTTGCAGTCAAATTTTGTTTCATTTTCAGCTGGTTGATTTAGAGTTTGTACTGTACTTTCACTAACTTCAAAATTAATAACTGCAGACCCACATATCTCAAAATTAGTATTATCAGCGTTATCACTGTTGTCTTTGTTAACATTTTCAGCCTTTCCTACAATATTCAAGATTCTATTGCCAGTTTGATTTTTATTATTTAGAGAATGGTCTGTATAGCTCTCTCCAACTGAGGTTGAACGCCATCCTCCACGGCGCTTTGCCGATGCTCGTCTCAAATAATGACCGGTATAACAAGTCGGATTGGGCAGTTTTAGAAAAGTCGCCACTTGACTAGCGAGAGTGCCAAATTTATTTATTCCAATGGGCTGTTTCGTGCACTTCCCTCGTTGATAGTTCAGGAAAAAACGTGTAACATTTACTAGTTGTGGAGGACGAAGATCCATGTATTTTTTGCAAATGTGATAGAAATTACCACCAATAACAAACTGACGTCCAGGCTTACTTTCTGTATCAGGAATGTGAACTAGAAGTGCGGACTTGAGATCTTCAACATGATTTACCTCGATTTTCATTAACTCGTCTCTCCGGCAAGCCCCCATTATTCCAAAAATTAATCCCACCTAGAACACCAGACATTATTAAATTTTAAAAATTATTAAATGATACTACAACTTGCTTACCTTTATAAATAGGTATTTTTCGTCTGGCGCAGTTGATAAGAATTCTTTAATTTGCTGGGGTGTCAAAATTTTTGACTTTTTAGGTTTGTATCCAGCTGACATGCGTTTTAAAAATTCACACAACTTAGTATAGGTTTTTATATCAATATTGTGTTTTAGATTTATTGTCGTTCGCAGCATCGAGTAAATCGCCCACAAGGAGGATGGTTTCATATTTTTAGAAAGTCTCTGGAAGTACGCGAGCAGGACATTCTCAGAGAAAGAATTATCGTCTCTTTCACGACGCCAGTCCATAAACTGCTTATACGCGCGCTCGTACTGTCCTCCCGATTTTACGGGAAGCAAACTGGTAGTTGCTGTTTCTACTTCCTCTTTGATGTCGAGCGGAGGATCCATGAGAATGCCTTCTTTGTCATCAATTTCTGCATCCATCTCCATCAAAACGGACTTTATTTTAACCACTCGTGATAAATAAATGCCACGTCACTATTGAACACTCACTTGATTTCAGATTGTTTTTAGTCGAGTCCTGCTTAATGAACACGAAAACCGTCGAACGCACTCGAGACGTGATTAACGAGTCCGAACGCATCTTCGACCCGTGTTTAATGAGTCAAAGCCATGAAACTGTGATTAAAGCATGGTTTAGCGCGCCGTGCATTTACGTTCGCTAAAGAAGGTCTTAAATAGGGGAGTAGAAAAAACACAACGTAATAATTGATTGTGCTACAGCTTTTGACAACACATAAAAGTCTCTCCATTTCTCGGAGATAATAAGACACTGAAATTAGGCGAATTGGAAAGTAAATGACCTCATCTTGTGCTCTCGCTTTACATTATATTGTTGGCTGCATATATAATAAACATGTCACAAGCAAAACCTAACTTTCTTGAACGTTTAAAAATGACATCGCGCCAAAAATTTGGATCAGGTTCGACAATGGCAGCGCAAGAAAAAAATCCAAAGGTAATCCAACAGTATTTATGCATAATAATTCCATACACATACCAATCTACATTTTATAGTGAGATTATTCTCTGATAAATAAAGTAGAACTTTATTACGTTTATGAATAATTCCGAGTCAGTGCCACCAACAAACAAAAACTAAACAAAATAATACGATATTTAAATCATTGATGTTAAAAATTGCCGCGTAATGACATTCACTGAAACTGGCTTAACTTTTAAAGTTTTCCTAACCATAAACATCGGGCGTTACGATTTTTATGTTTAAAACCCTATGTTACGTCTTACCGTTGCGCGTATCTGTGTAATAACCTTTACAAAATAAAGTTGACATTGACAAGTGGATGTTTTTGGAGGTTAGATTACAATTTTTTAAAAGATGACTTTTTTAAACAAAAAGCAATAATTATGAACCTCGGCAACCACAACGAAGAAAGTAAGTGTTCAGCGATTGAAAATCCTGTATAAACGTAATTCGTATTTCATTTCGTACAACCAATCGTTTAATTTGCTGCAGTTTACGATGAAAATCCCGTGATGGAATATCGAATGGAAGTCGAGAATGTGGAGGATTACGCCGTACAAGTAGTGATTCAACCCGCTGAAGAAATTCACCCTTTGGCTTTGGTGGCAAGAAACATTGACCCGCAAGTCTTAGACACTGTCGAAGAAAATCCACTTGAGGTGGCTAATGTGGAGCTTGTGGAAGAAGCGAGCGATGAAGGCGGCGACAGAACTTCAGCTCCAGTGTCTGTAGCCAGCAGTCGGGCACAATCACCACGAAATTTTGACGAAGAGAGTAACCAAAGTACTGATACAAATGCACCTAATCAGTCTTCCAAGAAACGAACATACAGTGATGACGAAAGAGAAGATGACGGTTCTTTATGTCCCATTTGTTTCGATGACTGGACAAACTCGGGTGAACACAGAATCTGCGCTTTGAAGTGTGGACATTTATTTGGTCATAAATGTATTACTTACTGGTTGAGTACCCAAAAGAAGAAGACATGTCCCACGTGCAAAAAGAAGGTGGGCAGAGATGATATTAGGTATATTTATGCCAAAAAACTGACCGCTGTAGATACAACAGAACTTGAGAATATAAGGAAACAGCTAGAAGCTGTGACAGAGGAGCGCAATAAAATTCAGACTGAACTATCAGCACGTGTTTACCGCGAGCGATTACTAAATCAAGAGATTGCACAACTCAGAGCGCAGTTAAATGTGTCTAGGCAAGGGGTTGTTAATGTTCCTAGTTTAATCAATCCTGCTATAGAACAGGTAAAACTCTATATGGATAAAGCCATGGAAATATGTAAATATGGAGGCAGTCGGGTGTTTGATGCTAGATGTGAATTGGATTTATTAATGGCTTCAATGAAGTCACCAACAAATCTGTTTTCGGGGTTTGGGCTAAAAAAGATCAGTATCTCAGATTATAGAACCATTGCATTTGTTCCAGTTCACAGCTTACAAATCAGGGATATTTGTTTTCATAAAAGTAATAACTGGGTTCTTACAGCTTCCATGGATAAAACATTCAAAGTGATAAATAACCATGATAACATGGTGATTTATCAGTTTCCCCATCAGATGCCACTATGGTCATGTTGTTGGGATTTAAATAATCCTTTATGTTTGTACGTTGGAACACAATCGGGATCTGTGATCAAATATGACATCAGGCAATTAACAGAACCCGTTTCCACGTTTTCCATTGAAGGTGATATGTCGCCTGTGGTATCGGTGGCTTCTATACCATCATCACCTGGTGATGTTTTAACTCAAGGAGGCATTGTTTCTTGTAAATTGAATTCTTTGTGGGTGTATGAGAATGTGAATGCAGAGTACGTGAGACACTCTATTTCTTTAGAGGGACCATTTGTTTCAATGAAATACCAAGAAAATAGTAAGCAATTATTGGTGTCTTCTAGACCTAACAGTAGAATTACATACGCTAGACATACATTGTGCACGTTTGATAAAAAAGATCAAAATTCAATTGACTGCAATATTATACACACATTCCAAGGAGGAGGCATGCAGAAGCTATTAAGTAAATCGTGCTTTTTATCTCATACTAACGATTATGTAGCTGCACACCAAGAAAATTGTAAAAGTGTATTTTTGTGGAGTATTAATACAGGGCAAAAAGTTGCGTCTATTACTGCGCACGAAAGCGTTTTAGATTTAAAAGGTTTACAAAACCAAAATGGGAGTTTTTTAGTTTCTTTGACTGATAAAAAATTAGAATTTTTCAAGTTCGCCTAGTTATATTACTTAAGTACCTAATTACACGCTTAAATTTTAATAGTGTCATAATTACAATTTTTTAACTTTCTTTTTCTTAAATAAATTATATTTTATTACAGAAGTTTGATTTTTTCTTGATAAAGTGTATGTAGACAGAATTGTTGTAGGTATGTAGATAAACATTATAAACTTGTCGTTTTCAGAAGGTAGCTAAGGAGTCAGTAACTGGATCATTCTGAATGTCTAGTTTAGTGTTTTCTTAGCGCATCGCGGGCTGCAGTGTAGAGAAATTGATCTAAAGTTTTTTTAAAGAGAACTCTCTCCTTCTACGGTAACGATTTTTATAACAGTTTTTCGTAAGATTAAATATTTTAATACATGTATGTGCAACACAGTAATAATGTTACTCTGTTCTACGAATTTCAGTGAAATTAAATGGACTTTTCTGAAATATAAAAAAAATAGTTGTGTTTTTTCTCTTAGAACACTGAAAACATGCATTGGTTCATATATTTATTATTTTTGGAAATATTTTGTAGGCAGTTACAAAACCAAAATCAACTACATTACTAAAATGCCAGTAGTTTTTACGTCAAAACAAATACATATACACATTTAATAATTATGCGTTTAAATAAAAACAAAGATTGATACAAGTCAACGTATGTACTGTATGTTTTCAGTGAAATTTTCTTAGTAAAATTTTATCAACTTTGTAGCAGAAACAAATATATTACTTTTGATATATACAGTGTAACACTAGTATTGTGTTCCCATTATTTCGGGAAAATTAGGTATGCCGTTTTTGATTTAATCAATAAAATAAATTACTTCGTTCATTAATTTTTTTGAAATATCCTCTATAAACAATTCTAAAAAATATGCATGTGTATAACCAAAGCAGAGATAACGATTTTTTTTTCAGCAAGCGTTTAATGAATTTTTGACATGACGTCATCAGCTTTTTAGGGGGAAGAAACAAATAAATTTAATTCGACGTTCCGGAATATTTAAATTGTAGTGGCAGTGTTTTATTAAAATTTCTGAAACATTCCTCACTTCGGTTTTAAGATAAAATAATTCAAAAATTATCTTAGGGGCTGCCATAACATAAATTATTTAAATAATACTGTTAAAAAAAATCTGTTGAAAATTTATAAAATTGGGATACACCAGTGACATGTAAATCAAACCCTTACTACGAGTGGACGTTGTTGCCACCACATCAATAATCTTTGTTACATTGTGGTCACTAGGTACATATTTAAGGTGTGGCGGATTCACCATATGCACAAATAACAGAGAGGATTCTAAGTAATTACTAATTATTGCTCAGACAAAGTAAGAATGAAAATTTTTGCACTCGTACTATGGAGAAATTATTTCTTCGTAGTAGTTTTAGCAACACAAAAAGTGGAATCGTCATAGCGTCGGTAGAGGGCAAGGTAGAAAGACCGCGAAATTCAGAATAGGATGGAGAAATCTATTCAGATTATGATTAAACCACTAGAAGTATCAAAAGTAGATTGTTTGGTAGGTAATGAATACTACGCTATCGTCGATCGATGAGTGTAAAATGTTGTATTTTCAGCATAATTAGGTATGTTTTTGTACATATGTATTTATAACGCACATCGTTAAGTTTAACTGAAACACCAAAACAATTTTTTTTTAATTTTATTACCGCCCTAATTTTTTGCTAGAAAATTTAGCAAAGAAGTTACGTTTCTGATTCTGTTTTATCTAAGAATGCACCCCAAATGACGTGAACTTTCTTCAGGAGTAAACCGGCGCATCCACCAAAAATTAAACGTCATGTGCAGTTGATTGAGTTGCATAAATGCAGTCCGGGTGCAGTTAAGTTGGTAACGTTGATCAATCGAGATCTTACAGACTTGAGTGGTTTGTGTAGTAGCAGTGATTTTTGTCTGTCACCAACTGCATAAAGCATAAATAAATGCATAAATGTGTGAGACATATGTTGCACTAATGTAAAAAAGTTTGATATTCGAAATAAAAACAAAAAATACTTTAGTTCAGTTACTGTTAATTTTTGCTTCCGTTTCTCTCTTTGTGATTGAATTCTTTATAATTTTTGCTTAACGTTCTAGAATCTTTAAAATCAAAATTGTAAAGTTTGATATGTAAAATTTATTTTTTTAGGTTAAGCCTGGTAAAACCTATGCATTAAATGCTTTTCATTAGAAATAACTTATTTTTGCGTGGTAGATCTAAATTCAGATCAAAAACCGGTATTCTTAACTTAATACTTTTACGAATTTCACTTGTTTCTAGAAGCTAAATTATCCAAAAAAAGAAGAAAATTATTGTGTATATATAAATTTGTGTTTATATAAATTTACGGACACTTGTATACAAACGATTATGCATGCTTCGGAGTAATGATAAAGACTGAAAAAAAAATAATATTAATAGAAAAATTAAGATGTTTTCGAAGTATAATTTACGATCGGTCACTTTCAATTTTCCAAAAATGCATCAAGTAACTTATTTTTTAACATTGATATTTGAAAATTGCCAGTATTTATTGACAAAACAGTAATCGCCACAGAACAGAGCTTTAATTTTTCCAAAGTACCGGTGTTCATCGTGTTTCGGAATAATAATACAGATTATAGCAAAAATAACATTCGTTGTAAAATTTAATTTTTTTCAGGGTAGAATTTACACTCCGTCACTTTCAATTTTTCAGAAATGAATCATTTAACTTGGGGTTTTGAGAACACGAATTCTATAAACCCGACTGAGATAAGTGATAAAATCTTTTTTGAAATTTCCTATGAATATAAGTCGAGATTAAATCTATGTAGGTAGCCTATCACTTACGATTAGCAGGAAAATTGTCACTTTCTTTGTTGACATACAAAACCAAAATTGTAAACAACAATCTACAGTAAAGCAGAGTTTTAATTTTTTCATACTGCGCGTAACATAAAGAAGTTAAAAACATTATTTTTAAATTATAATTCTGCCTGTCAAAGATTAATATTTGCACATTTAACGAAAAAGTGAACTTCAAAATTAAAAAGTTTTTTTTAGATTTATGAGTTCCCACAAATTTGAAATAAAAGAATTCAAGTGACAACACATGTCTAAAGAAATGTAACCGTTGTGTACTGTGTATAAGGTCATAGGTAAACAACTATTGTGGACTGCGGTTAAAGATAAATTTATCAAAAGTTGTTGTTTGGCTTAGGTTCCGCGTTGTTGATTGATAATAAATGACAAGACTTAACTCAACAAAATATATTTATTAAAATTAAATTACAAAATAAAATCGCGAGCAAAATACTATTTGAATGATCGTTATAAGTTATTAGTTACAGAAAATGAATGTGAATAAGTTAATTGTGTACTTACAAGCCAGACCAACCCAAGACTCCGTCCGACCCGGTACTTTTTGATTTTATTATTATTTTTTAGGATAAGTCATGTATGAAATTTTAAATGTAGACATGGATCTGTGGTTAAGGCGCACGTCATATTACACACTTTAAATAACATTTATTGAACAATATTTTGAGATAATAACAATCGGTTTTATAATTTCAGAGATTATTATATTATAAATCTATCGAATATCGATTTTAATTGCCAAAATAGTGACTAGATTATCGCCAGTCGAAACGAAAGAATTTGAGAAATTAAAAAAATGGTAAGACAAAGGTGTCGGAAGGTCAGTTTACATTATCTTCATAGTAAGCGGTATTTTATGCAATTTTTTTTTGTAACAATAGCAGTTTGTATTCTAATGGACTGCATTTTTTTACCTGTAATACGATTTTATAGGAAATCAGAAATACTACAAAGTAGATTAGTTGCTACCGCTCTTAACTTCGTTGTTGACTTTTTCTAAAAGTGCTTTTATCTTACCTGTTATAGTTATACAATTTTAGAGATACTCATCGTTTAATGAATTTCCATTAGATAATTTTATTTACTAAGTGCTATGATTAACACTGTTACATTGAAAAACAAAATGAAATATAGTGGTTTAAAAACGATTAAGTGATAATAGATAAAACGATAACATATATTTTCTTGTTATTGCATTTCCAAACTCCACTTAGTGACAAACATTGCCTGCAGCAGCAAGTACAAGTAGTGGCTTTTAGATTTTTAAACCCTAAAATTACCTTAAGGTATGTACCGTAATTATAATAGTTACTATACACATTTGTTATTATTAATGGTATGCACTAACATAATGTAATCTGCAATTATGTACTATTATTAGTACGGTTTGAACTTGAAAGAGGACACACATTTTATATATTTGATACTGTTGCAAGTGTAATAATTTAACAATACAACTTTAATCTAGCGTAATTATTTGTTGATTAAATCGGTCAACACACAAAAGCGGAAAAAAGTGTTGGTATGTTATCTACGTTGTATCAAGCATATTGATACATCTATGAGGAAGATTTTAAGTGAAATAATAAGTTTTTTTTAGTTATATATGAATTATTTTTAATTTTAGTTAAACAACAGCTGTTTAGGTAACCAGTTATCAAAAGCTTCATTTCATGTAACCAGTTTAAATTTTACGAAACGAACAAAGCAAGCAATTCACACGAGTTACACAAAATGGGGCTTTTATAGCGCGTTTATGTACAAGAGTTTTTCTAATTTTTGTTATTAACAGATGAATTTCAATTTTATAAATTCTTAAAATCCTATACTTACCACTTGTGGCTAAAAATCCTAAAACGGAGGTACGAGCTTGCTAACGTTAGTTTCTTTTTTATATTTTATAACTAGTTACCTACGTAAAATATTTCATCACTAGTTATAAAAAATTTGAAAAAATACATACATGTAATTGCATCAAAAAAGCGACAAGGACAGACGTTTAACTGTCATTTTATCGATATTAAGATGTCAGTATCAGTCATTACAAATTGTCTTGTCAATAATTCTTGTCCCGTTTTTGTGAGTGACTGTATTTGTATTATGAACACGTATTGTTTTCGTTTAATAAAAAATATTTCTCTTATGGTTCACCTGCTTGTGGATCAAAATACTTGAGTACGACAAAAACTGTGAACTATTATTTTCTTGACATATTTTTAAAATAAATTTTTTGAAGACTCACATTCGTTACATACATACTGAGAAAATTAATTGGTCTTAAAACAAAGCTTTTAATTAGTCGCAGAGGGTTGTTTTCATGTTTTGGTATTAAATTTATAGGGATTTTATCAATTTTACGCTTTGCGTTATCATCACTGATCCGTTGAAATGATTATAAACGTATTATTGGATAATAAAAATTTACAAATTAGAAGTTAAATTGTAAATTATAAACATTACTTCACGTAATAGAAACAAAAATACATCAAAATTAGTGCAAAAAATATAGACAAAAAATAAATAGTGGTAAAAGTCGCGAATAAAAGATTTTTTTCTTTCTATAAATGATATTAAATTTCTCTGTACCTTCTATGCATATTTGTATCTGTACCACATGATCGAAAAACAATTCATCATGATTATAAACGTGTTATTAGATAATAAAAATTTATATTTCAAGTTCAGACCAATGAGAAGTGTTAAATTGTAAGTTAAAAATACGTCAATATTAGTAAAACGTTGACCTAAAATTATGTAGACAAAAAATAAATTAACTCGCAAATAAAGGATTTTTTTTCTATATACCGGCTGTCTGGAAAATGGCGGATTAACTCTTCAGTACGTTATGTACGGGGGTTTCGGGAGTCCCAAAAAAATAATTAAAAAATTCTTTATAATGCAGATAACGAAAAAAATGTGATTTTATAAAAGTAAAATTGGCAACACTGTACACACCTAATGCGTGAATACCTCCGGCTTACTTTCTGGTTTCCTAGTATCGATGCTGACTGAAATCCACCTTCGCTTTATATCAGGCAAACATTGTTGACAAATGGAAATTTATCAAATTATTACAAAAACAACACAGCCATATCTTTGTGCATTCCAACTGAAATGGTAATTAAACATGGTCATGGGCGAGAAAAATATTAACTAAAAGTTTTACTACTAGTTATTCCGATAATGAATGAGTGGTTTAGTTGTTAAACGTAGCAAAAGAAGCAGTTTTAAAATCATTATAACTGACCCAAAATGTGAGAAGGATTTTTTTTACTATTTTTCCCAGACTCACCAGTTGATTGTTAAGACCGTAGCGGAGAGTTAATCCGCAATTTTCCAGACACCCGGTATATATTTTTTTAATATCTCTGTATCTACTATATACATATTCGAAAAACAACTCCTCTAGTAGACCGTGCAATATATTTTTAAAATAATAATGTTGGCATTGCAGCTATTTGACTTTTTATGTCAAACTCAACGAGGAACGCATTGGTGTTGCCAACATCATTATTTTAAAAATAAATTGCACGCCCTATTACTATTAGAGGCTGAGCTTCTTTCGAATATATGAACTATTTCGGTTCATCCTATGTCTTAATAATATTCCAAAATCTTTTCTATCGAGTTGGAAGCAAATGTAGAATTTTTTTTTTTAAGATATTAACATGGACAATGAGAATAAAAAATATTTAGTTGTTTGTATATTACAACAAATGTAAAACAAGGGTAAATACTTAAATCATTTCACGACATATGAAGCAACTTATTGTCGAAATAAGTCTACACATACTAAGACAAAGGCAATATGTAGCCTCGCCCACCCGCCGTATCTCAATTGTGATGATTTTTTTACAACACGATACTCATTTTTAATTTTTTGTAAAGAAATAAGTAAATACTGCAAAATTACAGTTAATTTTCGTCCCCTTGGTTGACGGCGAATAAAAAAAATCATCACAATTGAGACAGGGCGGGTGGGCGGGCTTACATTTTACCTTTTTGTTTTAATATCTGCAGACTTCGTTTTACAACATCAAACTTAAAACATGTTTAAAATGGAAAATTTGTATAAGGAAATATAGATTTTGCAATAGGCTCCCCCCATTCTTGCAAAATCTATGTTTGATTTGCAAAAACCATTTTAACCATGTTTTAAGTTTTGTTATGAAAAGATGGCTGTGTATATTAAGAGAAAAAAAAAAGGCAAAATATATGCCCCGCCCACCCCCCCGTGTCCCAATTGTGATGATTTTTTTTATTCATTGTAAGCCGAGGGGCGGAGTTTAATTGTAAAATCCCTGTTTTTCCACGAGAAATTACCATGTGAAATATGTTATTGAGTAATCGTGTTGTACAAAGAAAACTAAATGTATTAATCCAGTGGCGTAACTACCGGTGTTCCACGTGTTCGGCGGAACACGGGCCCGCTGCTTCAAGGGGCCCGGTCCGGTCACACGAACATTTTTTTATTAGATTTTTTTTATATTATTGCCCAAATTACATCCTGAAATAAAAAATTCGAAAATGTGCGGTAATCCCAGGATCGATGGTCGATTGCTATTTACGAATTTTTTGCTGCAAAGGGCGGCATCTCAATATCATAGACTCAATAAACTCGGGTTTTAGCGACCGGCACCGGCGGTCGAAAACGCAGCAGCATCTCTTTGTAATAAACCTGTTGCAGTGTCGCAATCCCATTGTAGCAAATTTAACACCCCATGTAGTAAATTACCAATCTTTATCCGACAAAAGTATGACTAATTTATGATGCAAGACAACAAAATACTTAAATTTTGTCCTCAGTTCTACAGTGAAACTTCATGCTGTAATAAAACGTGAAAAAAAATCAGTTTCAGTTGTGTTTTATGAAAATTTTCGTATTTTCAAAACTATTTTAATTTTGTACTTGTGGTGCTTTTTTGGAATAATAAAATATATCTGACGTATGTTACAACTAATTTTTTAAGTAGAAAAAAACTGGACTGGGAAATTATTACAGAATGACCTACCTGTACTAGTGTCACTGAAATTATCACAGCATGTTTCACTTATCTTACAATACCTCTTTCGGTGGTTTCAGCGGAAAGATCTTTTTCGAAATTAAAAATGACTAAAAATTTTTTAAGAAACAATGAGCCAATGTAGATTACCTTCATTGAATCTCTCAAATGGAAATCAAATTGCTAGAAGCTTAGATGTGTCAAATTTTGTATCAACTTGTCCCCATTGAAAAGCAAGAAGAAAACAATTTTGAGATTAAAAAAAAATGGGCATTTTATCTATACTTCTATACTTCTATACTTACTTATATTATAAAGTTGAAGAGTTTGTTTGGTTGAACGCGCCAATCTCAGAAACTACTGGTTTGAATTCAAAAAATCTTTTTGTGTTGGAAAGTCCGTTTATCAAGGAAGGTTATAGATTATATAACATCACCCTATGATTAATAGAAGCGAAGCAGCAATGAAAAATATCGGAAAAACGGGAAAATTATTCGTCCTTTGACAGCTTCCGTTGCTTACGCTGCTTATTAAACGGTTAAAGTTACATAAAAATCATGTATGATGGAATTGTTCCCTTCTAAAAGTTCTAAAAAAAGTCCGCGACAGCATACGTCAATCTTTTAAGGCCGACTCAGTATAACCTTTTTTATGGTAATGAATTTTTTTCTAAAATAATCTAATATATAATTCTGGTGTCTCCTCCGAAACGCCTTGACCGATTTTCATGAAATTTTTTGTGTATATTCGGTAGGTCTAGTAAACTATTTTTTAAACCCGTAAGTGATAAGGGTGACCCACCAAACTTTTTTTATTTTTTAGACATTTTTTATTTTTATTTTTTTAAGATTTGGCATCAAAAAATACATATAACCCCCATTTTTTAATAACGATATGAGTATCTTTGCTTTCATCCACAGATGCGCAATAGGGTTGCAAGATGGCCATTGAATATAATCATTGTCGTACGATAAATTTTTATGTATTTATTTTAATTTAATTTTTTATTTAACTATGTACCAAAATATTCACTAGAAATGCCAAAACAACGTTTGCCGGGTCGGCTAGTTTCTAATATTGTATATATTTTAATTATATGTCTTCAGGTAATTATTGTAGTTTATTTTTTTAATTCAATGTTTCAGGTAGAATGATTTTAATAAAACGTTAGCGCTAATTGCAATCTACTCATTCTTTACTCATTATACTCGTATTTTTAAATATTTTTATTTCGCTGTTCATTAGGGGCCCCACAGTGTTGTAGAACACAGGCCCGCAGTTTGATTGTTACGCCACTGTATTAATCAAAAAAGAAAACCAAAGGAGAAGTTTCTGGTCGTGAAAAGATGACGTAAGTACACATATTAAGAAAACAGAAATTTAAACCGTTTTTATGTCAAAATGTGCTAAAAAAACACAAATTTGAATATTTATTCTCACAAAATTGATAAAAAATCTGTTTGGTTATATTATAACAGTTCTAAAGCTTTTATAAGAAAACAATAAGTCTGTTTTTTAATAAACAAGTTGAATAGATATTAAAACCTGATATCAATTAACTCACTACATGTTATTATCAGTTAATCTGTATCTTCGCACCTTATACTGAACTTTACCATACACAAAATGTATGAATATGCTGTTCCTTAGAAACAATTTGCTCTTCAATGGTAGCTACCTACACGCAGATAAAAATATGGTGTTTTATCAAAAAAAGATAACTTCAATAATTGAACGAACAATTAATATTCGTAGAAAATTGAAATTTTTTCGTGATACAATTTATAATTGTTTTTTCAGTTTTACAGAAATGTATCATTTATCTTAGTTTTTTGAAGTAGAAATTAGGTAAACCTTCTTGAGATAAATTATAAAAAATGTTTAGACTGTGGTGCCCCGATTTGAAAAATTAAAATTCACGCAGAAAAAACCAACGCCGCGAAATCGCATTTGAAAAATAAAAAAAACATTCAATAACGTAGGCAACCATGCATGTTAGCAAAATGCCACCCCTATAATTGGCAGTTTTACACAGTTTTGTAAAACAGCGCAGGCAGTTTGTAATGTTTGTAATTTCACCAAGGGTATTTTGAATCGCATTCGACGCCATTATCCCTCTCAACAAGTGTAATTACTAATTACTGTGAGATCAGTTAATTAGCGATTTTCTAATACACAATCAGCTGTCTTTCAAGCTTAACTCACTTTAATAACAACGAAAGTTCTGGATGGAAAATACCTACGTTATTATGTTTTCACGCTTAATCACTTCTTACTCGGAATTTTAAGAGAGATATAGAGTATAATATGCGGCAGGTTTTTTGGGTAAAGAGATGTGGTGTGTGTGTTATATCATCTGTCAATGGTGTTAAATCATCGAAGAAAGGTGATAGACTACGACGAGGAATTTAAATTCCACTTCGATTTCATATATACCTAATTTTATTATTTATATTTATTTATTATCTGTAGTGATAGTTGTCGACATCGAACTATAGAAGATCCATGACTAGGGTTGCTATGTTCCGAAAAGTGTTAAAGAAACAGCAAAGCAAATAACAGAAATACAACATTATAACTGATATGATATTTCTAGAACACAATTAGGGCTCTTTTGTAGCTGTGTACTTGTAGCACCGGGAGTTTCTTTCACTGTGTTTTTAGCATCGAGATCAAACATATAGTAGTTTGACCACCCTATATAGGACATAGTAAATTCTCTTATTAAAATATCGTAGACTCCTCTATTAAATATATAGTAGGTATGACTATAATTTTTTTAGTACGTTTAAACTTTAAAGTATGAACTGTAGTGTATTTTACAAAATAATATTATGCTTTATTACTAGGATAAGGGAATAACCCGCATTGCAATTTTTTCAATCCTAATTTCTTTTATGTAGATACGCTTAATCTTTATTTAATTTTCCGTTGTCCACTTTTATTGTTGTTAATCTCCTATTTAGTAGTGTTAAAGTTCAAGGTTAATCATAATCAGCAACACCTAACTGTTTATGTCGCTGTTCATTTTTATCACATGTAGAACTGTCACATGCTATTTATTTTTAGGAGGCTGCGACGTGTCATCGCATCGTGTTCAGTTGTCAATAGGACGATAACCTCAACCTTACAATCCCACATTTTAGAAATTTATACAAAACCTATTTTGTTATTTTATTTCTACGATGTCTCTCCCGGAACCTTTGCAAAAGCTCTTCAAGTAAGTTAATTTTAATTTAAACATTTAATTCAAAAATGATTAGTTTTAAAACAATTAAAAACTCTATTTTCGTACAGTGAAATAGACAAAAATAAGCAATCCTTTATTAACACCCTAAAAGAAGCGGTAGCAATTCAGTCAGTCTCAGCATGGCCCCAGAAAAGAGGGGAAGTAAGAAGAATGGTAGAATGGACCCAAAAAATGATGGAAAAATTGAGCATCACCACCGAACTAAGAGAATTGGGAAAACAGACTCTCCCTGACGGAAAAGTTATTGACTTGCCACCAGCAGTTTTTGGCACTTTGGGAACAGACCCAAAAAAGAAAACTGTGTTGATTTATGGCCATTTGGATGTCCAACCCGCCCTTAAAGAAGATGGTTGGGATTCAGAACCTTTTGTTTTAACTGAGCGCGACGGCAAATTGTATGGCAGAGGTTCTTCTGATGATAAAGGACCAGTATTATGTTGGCTGCATGCTATTCAATGCTATCAGAAATTGAAAATTGATATTCCGGTCAATATCAAGTTCATTTTTGAGGGAATGGAAGAATCTGGAAGTGTAGGATTAGATGAATTGGTTAATTCTGAAAAAGGAAAGTTTTTGAATAACGTGGATTATGTATGCATTTCTGATAATTACTGGCTGGGTACCAAGAAGCCCTGTGTAACTTATGGTTTGAGAGGGGTGTGCTATTTCTTCATTGAACTTGAGTGTGCTGCTAAAGATTTGCACAGTGGCGTTTTTGGGGGTACTGTGTAAGTTTACACCAACACAGAAATGTAAAGATATTAATATTTTTGTAAATTGACAGGCATGAAGGTATGACTGATTTGGTTTATTTACTAAGTACTTTAGTAAATAAAGATGGAAGAATTCAAGTGACTGGAATATATGATGATGTTGCCCCCCTGTCAAAAACAGAGGGTGACATTTATAAAAAAATTGATTTTGATGTAAATGACTACCGCAGTGATGTTGGTTGCACCCAACTTTTGCATAATGAAGATAAAGAACAGATTCTGATGCATAGATGGAGATATCCATCTTTGTCTATTCATGGTATAGAAGGGGCTTTTGCTGAACCGGGAGCCAAAACTGTTATTCCTGGGAAAGTCATTGGAAAGTTCTCTATTAGAATAGTTCCAAATCAAACGCCTGAAAAAACAGAGAAGTACGTTGTTGACTACCTGGAGCAGAAATGGAAAGAATATGGAAGTCCTAATAAAATGAAAGTAAGTACTTAAGTCAAATGATTTAAATGAGTAGGGAAATCATTTTTTACCTGCAATAGGCATACATGACTGATGGTGGAAATCCCTGGACTGAAGATCCAACCCATCCTCATTACACTGCTGGCTTTAATGCCACAAAACATGTGTATAAAGTGGAGCCTGATTTTACACGTGAGGGTGGCTCAATTCCAGTGACTTTGACATTCCAACAAGCAACTGGAAAAAATGTTATTCTTTTGCCAGTTGGTGCTGGAGATGATGGTGCTCACTCTCAAAACGAAAAAATTGATATAAGAAACTATGTTGAAGGAGTGAGTTACTAATGCTATAACATTTATTAAGTTATTTCTATTTTATGTTTCAGACCAAACTACTTGGTGCTTACCTTTATGAAGTTGGTCAATTACAGTAGTGGGGTAATGGTAAGATTTATATACACTGATGTGTACATTTTATATTGAAATGCCTGATATTTGTTTATTGCTAAATATTAGCAAAGTATTTTTGTATCTTTAGACCTAACAATGTATCCAGTTATTTTATCCAAAAAAGCTACATTTTTATCCTTTTACTGTGTTAGTTAAATATTAAAAACAAATTACATAAGCGCAATTATTATTCTAGTAGTACCTAATTAATCGTTTCTTTCACTTACTTTGCTTTTTGTTGTGTGTCTACTTTGATTAATAAAGGTCATTTTATTTTATTATTGTTTTTTTAACGTTTAACATATTTTATGAAAAAAAAACTCGTCTAGTAAGCTATGAAATTTATTTTTGATAATGTTGAGACTCAAGTTGTGTGACATTTTATTTGACAGTAAATGTATCTGGTTAAATATCCAGATTTTTGAAAATAGCCGGGTATTTAACAACACTTGAAAATATATTGCTATAATGGGCGAAAAATTTAAGAGTTCTCTGGTACTATTTTATTTAAAAAAAAAAAACTGGGAAAAGATGGGAATAAGACGTTTATGTCAATGTCACATAATTCATTGTCATTAGCCACTTTTTTTTTAACCGTATTATCATTTTCTACTATATTGTTGGTTGCAGACACAAAAAATTCATTTTTTTTGTGTAAAATTTCTCGAAAATGTGAAGAATACACACGTCTTTATGTAATAACGATAAAATAAGATTTATAATATTCAGAACATTTTGTTGGATTGTGATTTAATTAATAATTTTAGTCCCGTTTTGAGAAGACAAACTCATTCAAATCAGACGAACTTCTACGTGACATTTTTTCGATGTATAAACATAAATAAACCTGTTCTTCATTCTAGTGACAACTCTTGATATTGTTCACTCTTATCTTAGCAAATACTAACCCCACCCACCCGCCTTCCATTTTCTTAGAGGGTATGTCATTTATCAAAATCAGTCTTATCTTAGCAAATACTTTATAGTACCGGAAATATTAAATGTGACCTTCGCAAGAAACCTGTGTCTAAGGGTATAGAAAATTCGCTCCCCCATCTATTTTCTTAGATAGCACTTGTTAAGATAAGACTGATTCTGGCAAATGACATACCCTGTAAGAAAATAGAGGGGAGGGTGGGCGGGGTTAGTATTTGCTAAGATAAGACTGATTCTGGTAAATGATTACCCTCTAAGAAAATAGAGGGGGGATGGGGCTAGTACTTAGAACTTAAAACACTCTAGTATTTTCTATACCCCTTTTTCATTCTAGTAAATACTCTTGATATTGTTCAGGCTTATTTTAGCAAATACTAGCCCCGTCCACCCGCCTTCTAGTTTCATGGAGGATATGTCATTGGCCAAAAGCAGTCTCATTTTAGTAAGTACAAGCTCCGCCCAACCCCTCTCAATTTTCTTAGAGAGTATATCATTTACCAAAATCAGTCTTGTTTTTAGGACTACTAGTCCCGCCCACCTCCCTCTGTTTTCCTAGATAGATATTGCCAAAATCAGTCTTATCTTTACAAATACTAGCCCCACCCATCCGGAATGGACGAAAAATTCCCTTAACTTGCCCTTTAAAGACGATAATAAACAATTTTTAAACAATGTTACACTTTTGAACTTCACTTTACAAAAACACACGAACTAATTTTGTTCTTTGATGATTTACGCAGAAAAATAAATTTCGGTTATTGAATTGTCGGCATTTTGCTAACGGAATTCCCCCGACCCTTTGACCCAAAACTCAACTGTTACCTTAATCTCCCAGTTCGAGTGGAATCCTGGTGGTTGAGTTATCAATTTATCAATTCCTACAGGGTTTTTGTAAGCAAGCAATAAAGGGCCAATAAAATGAGCAATCAAAACGGAATGGGGGTGGGTGGGCGGGGCCACTTCTGGCTTTATTTTAAATATCCATTTTACAGAAAATAAAATACGTCAGTGAAATGGGGAAAAGAGATGGAGGGGGGGGGGGGGCAGTTTTTTCTACACACGTTCTACGTTCTAGTAACTACTCTGGATATTGTTCAGTCTTATCTTAGCAAATACTACCCCTGGCCACCCGCCCTCTATTTTCTTAAAGGGTATATCATTTGCCAGAATCACTTTTATATTTACAAATACTAGCCCCACCCACCCGCCCTTTATTTTCTTAGAGGGTATGTCATTTGCCAAAATCAGTCGTATCTTAGGAAGTACAAACACCGCCCACCGGCCCCCTATTTTCTTAAAGGGTATATCATTTGCCAAGATGATTCTTATCTTAACAAGTACTAGCCCTTTATTTTCTTAGAGGGTGCCATTTACCAAAATCAGTCTTATCTTATGTTTCTACTTTACAGCGGTTATCATAAAACGAAGATCGTAAAATCAAATTTTATAATTTTATTTTAAAGAGCTGAATTTGTCGGATTATACTTATAGCGTTGGATCAATTTTTTGTTGATCAAATTAAGGATCTCATTTTTTAGATTTGCTTATACAGGGTCACTCAAAAAAATTAATGAATCATTGAATTTATTTTATTGAATAAATCTAGAATTGCAAAACTGAATACTCTGAAATCGTGCAGACGTTTTAGCGTTATTGTAAGCATGGTAAATTGTTAATCAAAATATATCTGTTTATTCTCCCGAAAAAATTGATGACGTCATCTCAAACTTTTTCCGAATAAATTCTACCCAAAATGTGTAAAAGTGTAAAAAGTTTTTACTTGTCATTTATCATTGAATTCGTCTTTTTAGAATTGCTTATACAGGTGGATCAAAAAAATTAATGAATGAGTCAATTTATTTTGTTGATTAAATCAGGAACGGCTCACTCCATTTTCCCAGAAAAGTTTGGAAATACAATACTATTATTTTTAGTATTACCATACTTAAACAATGGTATTACACTGCACCAATTCAACTTGACATACATGTCCTTGCAATAATGTTGATGATGTCTATAGTAAAAACTCGAAAATGCTGGATATGTTTAGGTACGAGGGAAATTCTGTCAAAATAACTTTTCACCAATTATTCGAAATAGGTTCTTCAGTTTCATATATGTATGTAATTAGTTAAAGAAATATGAAGTACGTTTTTACAGAATTTGTCTATTTATTTACAATTATGCTACACAGAACGTTAAATTTGCAGTTTTGTAAACAATATTTTCCACGAAACAATAACAATTATCTAGAAAATTGTACCCAATTTTTGGAAAACACTGTCCATAACAACAGCTTTAGTGTCTAGCTGCTTGTTATCTTTACCACCCAAGCCCACTGATTAGCTACAGTAGATTTATTGGGTAATTCAATGCTGACTATACCTTGATCACTATCAACATTCCACTGGAAAAATAATAATATAGATAAGCAATGATATTTTCACACAACTTGAATTAATTTACCGTCAAATTTCCTGTGTTTCCTAGTAGGCTAACAGTTGGAGATGTTTCAGAAAAAAGAGAAACTGTCGACCCTAGCTGAAGAACACTTTTATCTGGCCAGTGTAGAACTATACCATAAACATTTTTGTCACCATCACTAGTATACCATACATCTGAGGTTAAAGTATCATTTTGTACAGTCCAAGGTTTACTCTTATAAATGGCTTCACCATTTATTGAAAGCCAAGAACCCAGTTGTAATAACCGTTCTTGGAATATTGGCACAATTGTGCCTTCTTTTGTAGGACCCACATTTATTAATATATTTCCTGGAAATAAAACAAGTAACACTGACGCGTTAAAAAAATAAGTTACCTCCGCAGCTTATTGTTTGGGCCAACGTCTCAAGTAATTCCTCTATTGTAAGATAGTCTGAGAGACTTGCGTTTCTTCTGAAACCCCATGATGACTTATCGAGAGTCATCGCGTTTTCCCACTTGTGAGGCTGCAGCACACCTAAAATTAGTCTTCAAATGATTGCAATTTTTGTTTGTGTATGGTAGACAGACCTGGGTTGTATCTGTCTTTACATGAATAAAAATCTCCATGTTTACAAGGAATGTCGATACCCCATCTATCATTAACAAGAACTACGTCTTTAACGGGACTGTCGTTGTATAGCCACGCTAAAAATTCTGTAGACCTGAAGTAGGTATCGTTGGCTTCCCAGTCACCATCGGACCAAAGAACTGATGGCTGATAGTTATTTATAACTTCGTACATCTCTGGCAGCATTTTATTATCCACAAATTCTTGGGTCGTGAATGAATTATTCTTATCGGCCAGGTATATAGGGTTGTACCACTCATAGAGCGAATGGTAAAGTCCGAATGTTAGATTTTTCGCTCGAACTGCTTGAGCTAAGTCACCTGTGGGTATCATAAGCATATAAGGACGAACAGTTACCAATTTAGTAGAACAAACCGAGCAAATCACGGTTAGGTCCAACGTCGTGAACGTTCCAACCAAACGAATATTTGGAAGGCCATAAGGTGTAGCCTTCATGATGTTTGCTTGTTAGAACAACATACCTGAAATAAATCCATGTTAACTTCGAAAAATATCAGCTCGTTCCAAACTTTCTGGATAGTTAATTAGAAAGTTAGAAAACAAACTAAGCGGTTAATGTACTTGGCGCCTGCATTTTTGAAGAGTTCTGCCCATTCGTCGGGATCGAAAAACTCTGCTGTAAAATCCTTGGCAAACCCTTGGTAAGTAAATCCTGGTGGATAATTCTTTTCCATAAATTTGACATATTCTCCATCTGGATCATCATCTGAACAAACATATAGCACAATTAAGTGATCTTGGGAAGATAGCGTGGTAATTACCTTGCCAATTTGCCCAAAACCATTCGCCTCCAAAGCTCGGAACTGAAAAAACTCCCCAGTGTAAAAATATTCCTATTTTGACTTCGTCAAACCATGGAGGAATTGGTCTAGTGTCCAGACTGTCCCACGTGGGTTCATATTTATCTGCTTTAGGCACATTTACAGTCTGTGGCTGATTTAATCCTGATATGTCTCCAATATTCAGAAAAAATATTAGAAAGCACCAGTAAAAATTGCGTTTCATCTTGAGCACACTTCAGTGATTCAAGTAACGATCTTCTTGCTAATAATAGAACTGACCTTTTGACCTGTTAAACGATATCATAAGGTATGAACTCATGTTAGGGTCACGTTACATATATTGTTTTGTCAAATTTTTATAATAAGAAAACAACGACGTTTATGAGCATGATATATGCAGTTGTACTTGAAAGAGTACTTACGTGAGTTAGTGCGGAAGTTTTGTTTCAGAAAGTTCTTGCAGAAAAATTACTGTGTTGTCTAAATGAGCTTTGAGTATTTATTTACTTACTACCAATACTTGACTACTATCTAGTGAAGGACGATATCATTATATTTTTCCGTAGCTGTTATTGTGCACTAAATAATTAGAAAGATAAAGCATCCTTAAACTACCAGTGTTAACGTTTAAGTGCTTTTATTTGTTTGTATTTTGTATCATGTCAGATTGATAAAGGTTGATGTAGGTCCTTGTGTTACAAATCTTGATCAATTTTTGCTGTGTCGGAACTCTTAAGCAATACAGATAACATGCCATGTGTAGAAAATTGATAATATCATACTTTCTTTGTTTTTATTTTTTCGTTTTTATTTCCAGAAACAAGAAATGTTTTACTTATTATTGTAAGTTTCTGAAAATATAAAATATAATCTCTTGAATCAATTTGATGTAGTGAACACCATAACAAGAAGTGAAAAAAGAAATACATCGACTGATTTATGCTTACTTTAATTTAAAAATTATGAAGCAAACCGTAACATATTCAAGATTTTACCCATTTAGGTGTTCAAATTATAAAGTTGGAATCTCGCATTTGTTTACATACAGTAAACTATATATGTATAAATAGCGATACCACTACACAGAAATTTTCCATAATAATAATAGTGGTAGCACTAATTAATAAATGAATAAATGAATAACATGTGCGAATCAAATAAAAAGTCTTTTGTTTATTGTGTTTATTGATCAACACCTAAGAGAAACTATCGGTAATAATTAATAAATAACAATAAGATGATTGATGAGTTCGAGTACTATTTTTCATAAAAATGTGATTACTGACCCTTGAGAGAACAATGAGACGACACTAGACAAAAGACCTTTAACTGATTTGAGATTCCTCTTATCGATTTATAACGTGACGTCACTTTACGCCCCTAACAGTCAGAAGTGGGTTTAATAATTTTTCTATCTCTCGAGCAGTGGCTAAGGGGGAACTGTAATAGAACCATTTTAAACAATTAAAATATAGTGACTTCGCATAGGATTTTTTCACATTTTGATAAGACACTAACATTGGTTTCATGTTCACAACGCTAACTACTTACACTAATTTTTTTCCAGAAAGAAAGTCATCTCATCTCAGAAAATTGTTAAAAGAATGTTAACTGAAAAATGTGTGCTTCAGAAATATTCTTTCACTGCTTCGTATCTCTTTAAAAGGATTGGTTAATTTTATAGGTAACATAAATTCATATTATACAAAAATGGACAGATTTTGTGTGTATTTTAAACGAAAATTAGGTGAATATATAATGTAGATCGTACATTTGGTAGAATTGATTTAAACAGAATAAAAAATTAAGAGAATCACGATAGATTATATTGTTGGTTGCCTACATAAAAATATTACCACAGCATAGATAACAATCAGTAGGGACGGCTCGCCGTTTTTCGTGACCCGTTTTCGTTGGTGGTCGTTCGCTTTATGACCGAATGAGGGCGCCCAACTGACGTCTAAAATATTTGAAATTTGGCAGTTTTGTTACAATATTTTTGCCGGTTTTGCTTGTTTAAGACTGCTTTTCCAGTAGAATTGTACAAATAGTATAAAAATGTAATTTTCACAATAAAAGGTAAAATCTTCGTCCGATGAATTTTCATACAGGATCCTTGTTGTGCGCCTGCCTTATTCTCTCCCTCGTGTTTGGAATTCTTGGAAAAGATAGTAAACATAACACACTTTTTGTTTAAAAAGTCGTCGCAAACGAACAACAACGGTGGTTATGAAATAAATATAAAAAATTTATTATATATGATTCCGTTGTTGTGGTAAAATTTAATATAAAAGTAATAAGAAACAAACTACACGTAACAAAAAATTATATAAGCAGACCTTCACTCAATAAACAATTTTTTTATTCATCATGTATATATATATTTTTTTTTGACCTACACAATCTTGAGTTTTATTTTGAGACGTTGCTTAACCCATAAGCAGTCGCGCGTGGGTAAAAATGACCCAAGCCGTACATTTTGTCAAATATCTTTTTTCGCTTAATCCCTATGGACTTCCGGTTTCATGAATTCCTTAATTATTCTTACCTGCGTCGACCCATACCAATTACCTGCACTTTATGCGAGTCGACAAATATGTATTTTTTTTTGTAATATTTTTTTGAAATTTTAAATGAAGTGATACTTTTTAAATTGGGTGGCGACATCTAGGAATAGTTTAGGCAACGACCATCCATGACGGCTTAAAATTCGGGTCAGAAAGAACAAAGGCGCCGACACGAGCTGTCCCTACTGATTGTTATCTATGCTGTGATATTACATTAACGAAATAAATACATAAAATTTGGACGTTGCATTATTGTTCATACAAGTGTTGCGATCTAGAATTATCATTTTTGATATTCTCTTCTTTTGCCTATGGGCATCCGTATTGTAGTGTCCAAGTTTGAATCAAAAGTTCGCGCTGAAAAAACAGCGGCGCGAAATCTCATTTGGATCATTTGAATTTGAAAAATGAATTAAGAAAATCGTTAAACATAGGCAACCATGTGCACCTTTAGTTTCTTGCTGGTAGTTTGGTAGCTCGTCTAGGGAATTTGGGGAGTAAGTTGGTAAGGGGCTGTGGTAAGGGGGTTGGTAGTAAAGCAGGCAAAAAAACCGGCCATTTACACATGTTGTAACTATAAATTAACAAAAAAAAAACAAGTCAAATAAACGCAGATTTAAATTTAATTTAACAAAATAATAGAAACAGAGCTACAATTTGAGATTATGAAAAACACTGTTTACAACAACAGCCTGTTTTATTGTTTTAATTAAGAAAATATCGTACTTGGTCTGTTTCTGTTATTTTGTTAAATTAAATTTAATTCTGCGTTTATTTGTCTTCTTCTTTTTGCTAATTTGTACATCATGTGTCAATTGACCCTTTTCCTGTAAGCAAAGTGAGTAGACATTATATAAATTCCAATGATACAGAGTGAGACAACATCGCGCAGGCGAAGTCAGATTTTTGGAGCGCCAAGTTAAAATTAACCAATGAGCGATAGATTACGCATGTGTAGCTGGTTGCATTCTGTCAAAGCGGTTTGTTGTCACAGGCCTTTGCTCTGCTGCCGGAGTGCCGGATACGTGGTTTTGAACATGCGTGCGCACGGAAAGTCACTATGGAAGTTTTACGATCTTACAGGAAAAGGGTCAATAGCGAGTGGTTCTTTAATAAAATAACGATCACTAGTTAAATTAATAATTTTTAAAGTGGTTTTTCGAAATTTTTCAGGGTGGCCCGTTTTATTTGCCGGTCAGTGTTGACTACACGAATATGGAAAGTTAGAATCGAATAAAGCTACTTACGTATTATAGATGTAGGCCGTTGGATTTCAAAAAGTGCAAGTATGCAAGGAGTTTTCCAATTTGGTATAAATTTCAAAAATAATAACAAAGATTTTACCACAGTAAAATTGGAAAGATAGCGCAGCACACGGAACCGTTGGTGTACAGGCTGACGTATTTTATAATGAGATGCGTCACTTGTAGTTTGTTTGTCTTATCTATGTTAACTTTATTTTTATTTGGTAGTTTCATGAAATAACCTTTGTTTAAACGAAAGTTAATCGGACCGACGGCGACGCCACAGTTTTCCCCATAAGCGTAATCAGTTATTAATGTCTCCTGCATCTTATGCTGTTTTTGTGTTATGTTTTAGCGTTTTATGATTCCAATTTTGGAACGTTTTTACTCGGGCGTGCCTCTCAAAGCGACGTGCGTACCGAACGATATTTTATGTTTTTGACCATATTTAACATGTGTTTATGTATGTATGTGATGGGGGATTCAATTCACGACGTAATCTTATTTCATGAATTTTGTATTATTATTGCAGGGTGATAATTTTTCTTTCATTTATATGACTGTTTAGTCGCAACATCGGATTCCACCAACTTGGGGGATTCGAAAGGTGTCTTGCTGGTAGAGTAGACTCTGTTGGGGAAGAGTCAGTTGCTAATTAAAACTTGAAGCAACCGACGCAGGCGCCAGCGAACACAGTAGGCATAGCGGACGCTTGCGGGCACCCCGACGTGGTTGTACCTAGCTGTAGTGCGAAGAGACAGTCAAAGACAGGGTTTTACCGAATTTGAATTAAAGTTCTGCTCTGAAAATTTTTAACAGCGGCGCGAAATCACATTTGAATAATTTGAATTTGAAAAAAAAATTGGCGCCTTAGTAGAGAGGTGAAAGAGTCACTTTTGGTGTGTTTGTTGTGAGCGTAACAACGTGGTGAGTTAGGCTGGTTAGTTAGTTGGTTCGGCAGTTAATAAGAAGGAGAAAGCCTTTGTTTAACGACAATTAATCGTAACGACGACGACGCCGCCACAGTTTCCCCAACACGCTTAGCTAATTCTTACGGTTTTTTTCCGAGCGGAAATAAGTGAATATTCGACCGACGCCAACACGTGTAAATTTGATTCATTGTTTGTAAATTCGCAGTTCATGTTAGGATTTTAATCGTTAACTTAGTCAGGACTCGTTTGACTTTGTTTGTCTAATTATGAAATCATATACTTAAGTGTTACATTTTAACACTTCCTAATTGTTCAAACAAGATTGCTAATAGTTAATTTACGGCAGTTAAATTAACAAAATTCATAATATCGCGGACTGACGGGGGAGGGGGGGGATTAAGCATTTCTCTCCAGTTATCATCGTCATTATCATCGTTACCATCATCACATCACCGAGACGCATTTTCCTCGCAACGTGGATAATTACATCACCGAGGAACTTTCCTCGCAACGCCTGATGCATTTTGTGTTTATTTATGATGTGTTTTGTTTGGGGTAAACAGTGCACGATACAAACCCTCAAAACAAATTGTTAAGTAACCAATCACTTGGGTCATGGCATAATGTAACATCATATAAATATCATATCATATAAATTCTTTGTTCAAATCGTTGATAAAGTGTGGTATAATTGAACGTAATGTAAACTCTATGTGCCGCTGCCGTTATTAAAATTTTGTGCTCTGGTTGTTTGCCATAATTTTAACTTTGCCGCCACATGTCTGTAATAACTTGTGTATTTGCATCCAGTTACTTTAGTTCAGATTTTGCTTTGTTTTTATTAAATTTGTGATTTTCAAATATTTGCATTGATTCAGAACGTTTAATTTGATTTCATTTAAATTTCATCCAAAGTTCAATACGTTTTTTTTGTAGCTGAGAAGCAAATTTTTCGCGAGTTTTCAAATTTTTTTCACGTGTCAATTTAAGGCGGGATGTTTGGGTTAACACAATCTTCTGAGTAACGATTCATTATTAACTGATCTGATTAAGATTCATAAAGCGTTCCTAAGTGCATCGTAAAGGTAAAATTCGGTGCTGATGGATTTTTGAAACATGAAAATATGAACAAACTTCACCTTATGGTATTGAAAATTTATTTTGTACAAATATTCGTTTTTAATAATATTTATCATTTTGTTTCTGGAGTTATTTTAAGTACCCAAGCCCATTCGCTGAAAACGGTTGTTTTATCAGGGAAAACTATACTCACAATCCTGTCAAATTGCCACTGAAATAGTATTAAATTATTTATTTTTCTTAGCTAATAAAAAATACGTGTACAGCCACACTTACTGAAAGTGGCGAATTCTCGTTTCCTATTATCACAACCTGCGTCCCATTAGTGCTGAAAAGCGAATTTGCAGAGCCAATATTCAGAAGATTATCGTGTGGCCAATTTAAAACAATCGCATAAACAATTGGTTCTTTAACCGTATACCACACACCAGAGGTGAAATAGTCATTTTGCACTGACCACGCATTACTTTCGTAAATGGCTTCTCCATTAATGGATAACCAGTGTCCAAGTTGCAACAAACGCTCTTGGAAAACTGGAATTATTGTACCTTCTTTTGTCGGCCCGACATTAATCAAAATATTACCTGAATAAAATTTCAATAATTAGTTTGCACTACACAAGTTAAGTAAGTCTTTTCTTACCCCCACAACTAATGGTTTCTGTGAGGGTAACAATCAATTCATGAATTGATAATATGTCGCTTGCTACCGCATTTCTTCTGTAGCCCCAAGAAACTTTATCTATTGTCATACAGTTTTCCCATTTGTGTGGTAATAAATGACCTGAAATTATAATTAATTTTGTTTATCTTTTTTTTTAAGATAGTGTAGGACCTGGATTGTATCTATCAGCACAAGTAAAGAATCCTCCATGTTTGCACCCTACATTGTATCCCCATCTGTCGTTTGTAATAACAGTTTCCTTTACAGGACTTTCATTATAAAGCCAAGCTAAAAATTCTGTAGATTTCCAATATGCATCTAGTGCTTCACCATCTCCATCCGACCATAGAATTTCCGGTTGATAAGTATTGACCAATTCCTTCATTTCAGGTATCAATTTGGTATCGACGAATTTGGAAGTTGTAAATTTATTACTTTTATCTTCATTATAGAGTGGATCGAACCATTCGAATAGTGAATGGTACAGTCCAAAATGAAGATTTGTTTGTCTAACTGCATTAGCAAGATCGCCTTAAAATTTAGGATAAGTGAAGGTTCGTGGTGCTTAAATCAAAAAAGTATTCTATACAAACCTACAAGGTCCCTGTGTGAACCAACGTCGTCAGCGTTCCAGTTGTGAGAGTATTCAGACGGCCACAGGGTATAACCTTCATGATGTTTGCTTGTTAGAACAACATATCTAAAGCGTAAAATTAATTATAAGAAAAAGTTATTTTTCAAAAAGTTACTTTGCGCCAGATTTTACAAATAAGTTTACCCATTCTTCAGGATCAAAGAATTCAGCCGTAAATTCTTTGGCGAAGTCTTGATACGTAAAAGTGGGTGGGTAGTTCTCCTTCATAAATTTGACATATTCTTCTGTGTTATCTCCTTTTAATTTTGGTCAGCTCATAAGTATTTTTTTGCTTTTTTAAAACTTACCTTGCCATCTGAACCAAAACCATTCACTCCCAAAACTGGGTACTGAGTAGACACCCCAGTGAATGAAAATTCCTACTTTTGCTTTATCGTACCAATCAGGCAAGGGTCGGCTGTCTAAGCTGTCCCATGTCGGGTCGTATTGTGCCGAGATTTGTGTCAAAGGTCCGCACAGTGTTAACAACAATAAAAACATCATCAAGTAACTATTTTAAATATTTATTAAGGAGTTAAACTTGTGGGCAGCAAAATTCACATTTACTTTAATATTTGATGTGACCGAACGTATTACTGGAAGTAATACTCAGTGGACAGTTGATTATAACGAACGTACAAGTGATAAGATAAAGAGAAAAAGAAGTTGAAAAACTAAAGAATATATCTGCAGATATAAAATAAGATAGACAGACAGACAAAGTAGATATTGAATAACAGTGCTTCAGTTTATATTTAATGTAATCGGTATAGAAAAACTAAACTACATTACTACACATTTGTCAAAACGACGTTATAGTGGTTGCAATATAAGTATTTCAAGGTACCAGAAACGTAAAAATACGTTTTGAACCATAATTAATAACTATTGTAATCGCATCAATTTTAAAAAGTTTTAAAATCGAACGTTGTTGGGAATGACAAATAGTGGTTAGACTGGTTAGCGTCTACCAAGATCAAAGCAGTTAGTTTAGGATTTTTAAACGATAAAGTGTAATTTTTTTGCATAACTTGATTTTTTCAAAAGTCTGCACATTGGTTAAAAAAATGGGTGCACTGATCGGTCACAAGTGTAGACGCATAATATTTTACATAGGTATCTATCAGGTTACCTGGCATGGCGATTTATTCTTTATTTTCTTAAAAAAACTGACAACAGCATTTTAAAAATTTGGAACTCAAGTTTTACTAAAGCTCGTCAACTTTGTTTCGTTAACGTGCATTTACTTTTCAGAATAATGTTTCAACTTCCTTATTACCTACTTGTTTTGTAGATTATTTTAGAAATACATATATACTTTTGAGATTTTTATCTTCACTGATTGGAAAATAGGTCTTGAGATATATGCCGTATCATTGTGTTTCCAGACGTGTTCGGTGCAAATAACTTTGGAGATTTCTATTCATTCGCACTTTATATTTTGTTCTAGTTAACTCTAGTAGTTACTAGAATCGCTGAACAGGTGCAGTGATCAAAATGCGTAAACAGCGAACCTACCACTTCTATTGGTGAGAAAACTCGTACCTGAAGCGGGTTTTACTCTAAAATAGCAGCTCTAGCTTTATACTAGTGTAAATTTGACTGACTTGAGGATTTTAGAGGAGGCTTCCACGTGAACACTTCATCTGTTCCGCACTCTAGTATCGTTATATATACATTAGTCCTTTTTTGTAGTTTGCTGTAGTCGACTGTAATTCAGGCACTCTAAAATTTGATTTTCTCTTATTTATTTCTGCATCCATTAGTGTAGCACACATCTATTAAAAATTCTTTTATGTTTTATTTATTTTAATTCTTTGTAACATGTACAGACATCTGTTTCATTATCTGATTAGTGATTAAACATTGTCTGATCGTATTATATTTCGAGTACTCTGTGGAATGCCTACCAACAATAGACACATATAGTCACAGATAAATACAAATGTCCCATACATACATTAACTCGACATTCTCCAAAATACTCAAAATCAAGTAGGGGAATATGCGGCAAAATGGAGCACGTAGAATCTAATAATTGAGACAACCAGTGGCGGCTCGTGAAGTTTTCTTCAGAGGAGGCTCAAATTTGAAAAGCACTACTTTTTATATTTTTTATTATCTGAATAATTTTTTTCGTCATGCCCACGAAAAGAACACTCTTGCGTTGACAGATAAATTATATTGCATCGATTAGTCTTTTCAAAATTGCCCAATTTTCACCAACTTTCTCGTAATAGTTCTCCCTTTTATGAGCCGAATCTAAATTATTGGCAATGTTTTGCTTACCAAGCATTTCTAATTTAATAGAAGAAAATATGTGTTCCTGTAATTTTTCATACCTTTCTATAGCTTGTGACAAATTTTGTAAATTATTATAGCCTGTTTTACCTCAAGCGGAAGATTTATCAGTTTATCACTTATAAATAATACACAATTCCAGCAGTATAATTTGTTTCTTAAAACCGAAGCAGTTAACTATTTAGTTTTATTATAATTGTTTTCATGAAATGCTCTGTTTTGTTTCTAATTGTAACTGTCAATACCATTAATGGGAGTGATGGTGTTGGTATTCCCTTTTATACCCTTACCTAGGTATAGCCTAAACAGCACCACCACTAAACAGGGAGCTCGCGAAACCACCTCAATGTTTTTCCTACTTACACCCGATTGCTCCAACTAATAAGAAAGAGATAAAGTTATCTGTACGACTTGATCTGAAAAGAGATGAACTAGCCGGAGGCTAGCGGCTTGGAGCGGCAGTCCGATGAACGTTTTAGCCAATGCAATACACACTGGCGATGCGTCAAGGTCACGGTCTCATTATTCAGATGCATCGTCGTTCGGAGGCTAGCGGCTAGCAAGCCTCTGCCGCTGAAACCAAACGCGGAGTGGTGTGAATGTGAATTATGATTGTGAGGGCGCAAATATAAATTTTTCCGACATTTTAACCTGATATATGATGAAAGTAAATGAAATCCAAGAAAATATTCTGAAAAATAACAAATGTCTACAAAAATATAAATTCTTTCATCGAAAAAAAATAGAGGAAGCTCAGCTCCAAAAAATAGAGGAGGCTCAGCCTCCCCTGCCTCCTCTGAGGAGCCGCCACTGGAGACAACATTCAAATAAGAAACCTTCGCTTCAAGTACTAATATATCATCTTTATAATCCAGTTGAGTTGCGCCGGAATTATGTTGTACATAATCACTGTGTCGGGTAAATTTGTGTTCCTGAGAAATAAATTGTTGGGTTTTACACCGCCCGCAAACGAGAACATCTGTTAAAGCCAAAAATTCCTTCCGCCCCCGGTGCTATCTGCGAAATAAGTTAAGTGAGACTGAGGGTAGGCTTATACACAGACGGTCTCAGCAATTTTTTCTAAGTCCGGATTTCTTCAAAATTCAGCCAAAAATAGTGGAAAAATCGCGAAGCAGACGGACAGCGTGGCCCACGGCATCTCGAAACTTGAATGAAAGTCGTTTTCTGCGCTACTGCTTTTATAGGGATTTTTGCACATTTATTTTGTCTCCCGCGACGTTAGCAAGCAATAAAAAGGCTTAAGTTATGGTTTGCCTGTAACCCTACTTTGGGTCTTATTTTGCTGTTTTATAAGATTTAGTTTGGTTTGAATAGGATAACTCGTAAATTTTTCGGTTTTTTCAACTTGCATCATGGTTCCCATGTTGTCACCGCTTCGTTGCGTCAGCCTTCTGCATCTCTGTTACTAAAAGCGACGTTCTTTGATCTGTTTTTACGCGTGTCGGTTTCACCTGCTGCTGTTTTAGTTTGTAGTAATTGCAGTTGGCGGTTTTTATGGGTGTACAGTTCTGCGCATGTTGTTCGCGATGTCTGACAAGCGCAATGATATTTGAAATTTGCGAATATGCGAATTTTGTTCTTACGTTTGGGGATTGGTGGTCGATTCTGATTGTCTGTTTGAATGGTACTATATGCAAATTTGGACATGGGTGTTAAGTAATTGGGTAAGATTTGCAAATTTGCGAATTTTGTTTTTATGTTCTGGGGGATTTGTTTTTCGTCTTTTTGTTATTATTTTCTTGTGAACAGTATCATGAGAAAATATTTAATTTTTTGGAATCCTATCTCAAAATTGCATTTAGAAGACACCCAGAAATCCGATTTTTCGAAACCTCTTGGGAGCTTGGATAAAAACATTGAATATTATATAGGATCAGAAATATGTTTAAGTCGAGACCACTCGAGTCAACAGATTACACGTATCTGATAGTACCTAGAACATTCGTACTGTGAATAACTGTTGTACGGGTATACAATATTCCCATCTTTGAAATGAAGGAACAGGTGCCTAAGATAGATATTCGCCTGGATTTTTGTGAATTCAGTTGCAAAGTTTTTGTAAGTCTTTGTAGGTCATTGAAACTAAACTAAAAAAACTAAAACTAAATATTATAAATTTTAAATTTTCTAAAACCACCACTTTTAGAATTTTTTCAGAATCAATATACCAGGCATTTGCTCTAAAAATCTTTTCTTAAAAAGTAAACCCCTTTACTTTTGAAACTCCAACCTTCATAGCAGTGTAATTCTATGGTTATACCTGTGAACGGGTCTGCTTAAGGGTCTCTCTAAGGCTTAGGATATTTATTGAAAATGAGAAAAACAAGATAATGCCACATCGTTCAGAATTGTTTCAATTTTTCAAAAACTCAACAGAAAAGTTGTAATAACCCAAACTTCCCGCCTTAAATTGACACTTGAAAAAGTTTGAAAGGCCGCGTAAAATTTAAAAATCTAAAAATTGGCCTTGGTTGCGATTGTCTAACAAAATGGAACCTACGCTGTATTTTTTTTGTATGGCGGAATGCGTTCAGATGCAAGTGGCGGACCCCTAGGCTGGAAAAGTACCGCTAAATAAAACACCAAATATATGGAGGACACAAAATTATTTATTCCTCTACTGACAAAAAAAAGAAAAAAAGATGCAACTACATAAGGTATTACGGGCGTGTGGCGGCAAATTTAAAAGTATGGCATTCAACAAGAGAACAAAATTTTAATTAAAACTGTATGCAGCGGTAGCGCCACCAAAGCGCTATCAGAGTGTGGCCATCGCACTATCGCAATTTCATTCTAGAGCACAGCAAAAATTATCCATAGCACGAGCGGAGTTTGAGGCTCCCGGTCGTGGCTGTTCTCCTCCCCACGACGGTGATTCTATCTATCACAAGCACTGCCGCACAGCACATTTCTATGACGAACATGCCGTACGAGCAGGACGTTACGGTCGCAAACTCGCGGTTGGGTCCCGGGTATGGACAGAAGCCGACAGCGTCACGTCATCTCGACCGCCTCTGATTTGTATTCAAACCAGCTCGACTAGAAACTGCGCACTCCTCTTCCGCTACGTGTTTCTGTGTTATTTAACCTCAGTTCCATTTAAAGGTTCAATTCTTATAACTCTGATGTTAACGACAATTCAACAAGTGTTAAAGTTTCGAAAAGAGCAATAAACAACATTTAAATTCGCCATACACTCTCTTGGAATTTGAAACAACAAAGAATTCTTATCTGAGATTAAGATTGGACAACAGACAATTTTATAACGGAAGCATTAATCAACGAAATATTTACAAAACAAAAACTAACAAAGATTTATATAAAAAAAATTTGATGTAAAATAAAACTACACAAAAAAAAAACGTGAATTAGAAACTGCAGAACACGAAAATTTACGTTCAATTTAAATTATACAACAAAGAAAATTACTGAAGCTAAAATTGTGAGATAGAAAAATTGTAGAGGTGAAAAATTGCAAAGCTAACAAAATTAAATGAGTTTAATATTTTATGTCCATTCGAGTTATCGGTTAATTTTTAAAAGTGAAGTTATTCAGCTGCATTGTAGGCCATTGTTTTACATTCACCCAAACAAACACAAAAAAAAAACATAGCAGGCAATCTGGAGATTCAAAATGGCCTCGGACGAATGCGTCGTTCAAAAAATGCGTCAAAATTATGTCTCCCAAAAATGCGATCAATCCTGTGACGCTGTGCAAATAATGGTCTAAATCAAAGGAATAAATGCACGTCCTACATGACCCACAATGTTCTTCAATAAGATTTTACATTTCAAACATGTGCTCGGTTTGACAGTAATCTTTCAACACAACCGCTGCCAGAACAAAGAATTTACCTGATGTTAAATTATGCCACACTTTATCCACGATTCAAACAAAGAGTTTACATTGGTTAAATGATGCCACACTTTATCAACGATTCAAACAAAGAGTTTATATTATGTTAAATAATGCCTTGATCTAAGTGATTGGTTACTTAAAATAATTTGTTTTGAGGGTTTGTATAGTGGGCTATTTATCCCAAACGAAACACATGATAAATAAACAACACAAAATGTATCAGGCGCTGCGAGGAAAGCTCCTCGGTGATGTAATTATCCACGTTGCGAGAAAATTATCTCGGTAATGTGATGTGATATGATGATAATAGCTGCCTAAGGGAGAAATTTTTAATCCCCCCGTACCTCAGTTCACGATATTATGAATTCTACCACACTTTCACGGTCTTTTCCCAAAGAACTATTATCAATCTTGAGTGATGAATTAAGAAGTATCATAGGCATGCAGAAACTTATTCATAATTAGATAAACAGCTGACTAAGTGAATTTCATGAAATCTCCTAACAAGCGCCATATCTAAACAAACTCCTGATTGTTAAATTGTGTAAGAACCAGTTAACGATTAAGCTCCTGTCATGAACTGTGAATTTACAAACAATGAAACAAATTTACACACGTGTTGGCGTCGGTCGAAAATTCACTTATTTCCGCTCGGAACAAACGACAAGAATTAGCTACGCGTGTTGGGGAAACTGTGGCATCGTCATCGTTACGATTAATTGTCGTTAAACAAAGGTTTTCTCTTTTTTATTAACTACCAAACCAACTAAACTTAACCTAGCTAACTCACCACACTCACAACAACACACACCAAAATTGAAGCCTACCTCCCTACGAAGCCGCCATCTTCTACCAACCTTCTAACTAAAATTCCAAGCAGAACTACCCACTACCCAAAAAGTCCGAACGTGCACATGGTTGCCTATGTTTAACGATTGTTTTATTGCATTTTTTTTTATTCAAATTATTCATATGCGATTTCGCGCCGCTGTTAATTTTTTTCAGCGCCCAAATTCAAATTCGGTCACCATAAAGTTTAAAAAAAACTGTCCTTGTGTTATATAGCGAAAGGTGTGGAGAGGTTATATTTAATATTCCATAATAATAAGTCTGTTAATAACATTCTAAAAATACATTGAAAATCCCATGAACAAATCTCGTCTTGAGCAATTTTCCAAATTCTAACCAATGAGTCCCTGTTGCTCATCTTGTTAAGGACCGCACCCTTGAACGTGGTCAATATTTATGAACCACTACTAACAACGAGAGCATGTTTGGACCAAAAGGCATTCTAGTTTCTGGCTAGCCGTTCTAGTTAACAAAGTTGCAGCAAACAAGGCTGCTCAATCAGCTTTAAGTTCCAGGGGTTTACTGAAGTATATTCTGTTTTCGAGATCCACATCTTGGAATTGGTTACAAGTTATCAACAAGCCTTCAGAAACAAGGGCTTGTAAGCTTTCCCTCAGTATGGAAGAAGTGAGGCAGACAGTATGATCATATCTAGAATAGTACAATGATAAAGGTTTTACCATTATCCACTTGTGTTTGAGGTGTCTGCTCGACAGATGAATCTCAGCCCCACCGGTTGATTCCGGGTTAGGATTTTGGTTTTAGACGTTATATTGCCGAAAGGCGAGTAATACGATAACTCATACTTCCAGAAGCTTTACAATCACCATGTCTTCAAAGTGTATAACTTAATATTCATTCGGAGCTCATTTGCCTGAAGATATGGTCCCAATCATGAGCCATCCACATAGGATGACATCCCTCATGTTGCCAGAGGAAGAATCTCCAGTTCAGTTTATGGCACCAGGTGAAACTTTGTATCCAAACGTATATTGCTATGGCTAAGACCGGAGGGATTAAAAAGGATCGTCTACGAACCGTAACAAAATATTTATTTTTAATGTTGAAACTAAACTACTAGAAGCCGAGGTGTGGGATATTGGGGGTGAATATCTTATACTGACTAACGATTCACTATTAACTGATGTGATTATATCAAGCAAAAAATTAAAAATTTAGATTTATGTTGAAGTAACAATGGAATTTGGTCTTTCATGAGTCAGAACGTTTTCTAGAATAGAGCACTTGGCACTTTTTAAAAGAAATTTGACAGTCAATTTTCACCTGAGTGAAACGTGCAGCGGTTTCAGAACTGTCAGGTGTACTTTAGAAGTAAAATTGGTGGATTTTGGAACTATGAATAGAGTTTATAGTGCGCTCATATTATAAATTTATTTCGTTTTATTACAAGGCTATAATAATATTTTTTATTATGTTGACCCTGGAGTTATTTTAAGAGCCCAGGCCCATTCGCTGGTTACAGTTGCTTTATCTGGGAAAGCGATATTCACTTGATCATCTACGGATTGCCACTAAAAAGATTAGCAAATTAAAACAATTTTTTCTTAACTAATACAAAAGTACGAAAATTATTTAACGTAAGGGAGAATAGCATTATTTTTTGTGGGAGAAATGTTCTAAATTCTAAATTACACTAGACACGTACTCTTCCGGAAAATGTCACTTTTCAAAAGTGATTTTTATGAATTTTGTTTGTTATATTTTATGACCCTTTTGAAATAGATATGTATTATTATTATTATTACTAATACTTACTGAAAGTGGTGAATCGTCGTTCCCTAAGAGCACAACTTGCGTATCATCAGTGCTGAAAAGTGAATTTGCTGAGCCAAGTTTCAGAAGATTATCATCTGGCCAATTCAGAACAATTGCATATACAACTGGCTCTTTAGCAGTGTACCATACACCAGAAGTTAATGTATCATTCTGCACAGACCACGCGTTACTTTCATAAACTGCGTCTCCATTAATGGACAACCATTCTCCAAGTTGCAACAAACGTTCTTGGAAAACTGGGATTATTGTACCTTCTTTTGTCGGTCCGACGTTAATCAAAATATTACCTAAATACAGTTTCACCAATTAGTTTACGCTTCACAAGTTAAATAATAATTAATTTCTCACCTCCACAACTAATGGTTTCTGTGAGAGTAGTAATTAATTCATGAATTGATAATATATCCCTTGATACTGCGTTTCGTCTGTAGCCCCAAGAAACTTTATCTACTGTCATACAGTTTTCCCATTTGTGTGGTAATAAATGACCTACAATTGTGATTATTTTTATGTTTTAAATATTTAATGGATTTTAGAACCTGGATTGTATCTGTCAGCACAAGTAAAGAATCCTCCATGTTTGCACCCTACGTTAGATCCCCATCTATCGTTTGTTACAACAATATCCTTTACAGGACTTTCATTATAAAGCCAAGCTAAAAATTCTGTAGATTTCCAGTATGAATCTGGAGCTTCACCATCTCCATCCGACCACAGAACTTCTGGTTGATACGTATTGATCAGCTCCTTCATTTCAGGTATGATTTTAGTATCGACGAATGTGGAAGTCGTAAAGTTATTAGTTTTATCTTCATTATAAAGTGGATGAAACCACTCAAACAGTGAATGATATAGCCCAAAATGAAGATCCGTTTGTCTAACAGCATTAGCCAGATCTCCTACAAGGTCCCTATGTGGACCAACGTCTTCAGCGTTCCAACTGTAGGCATATTTAGAAGGCCACAGAGTATAACCTTCATGATGTTTGCTTGTCAACACAACATATCTAAAGCATTAAATTAATAACAATAAAAAGTTCATTTTCAACTTGTTACTTTGCGCCAGATTTTACAAATAAGTTTGCCCATTCTTCCGGTTCAAAAAATTCGGCCGTAAATTCTTTCCCGAAGTCTTGATAGGTAAAAGTGGGTGGATAGTTCTCTTCCATAAATTTGACATATGTGTATGTGTTGTCTCCTATTAATTTTTATCAGTTCATAAGTAAGCTTGTTTTGTGCCTTTTTAAAACTTACCTTGCCATCTAAACCAAAACCATTCACTTCCAAAACTAGGAACCGAATAAACACCCCAGTGAAGGAAAATTCCGATCTTTGCTTTATCGTACCAACCAGGCAAAGGTCGACTGTCTAAGCTGTCCCATGTTGGATCATACTGCGCCGAGATTTGTGTCAAAGATCCACACAGTGTTAACAGCAATAAAAACAACATCATTAAGCAATTATTTTAAATACTTGATGTATTTAAACGAGAAGGAAGCGGTATCAGCAGCTGCTTTATTGTTTAATGGAACCGAACGTAGTACTGGAAGTAGTCATGTTATTGAATGGACAATTTATTACATTAACGAGCGTACGAGTGATAAGATAAAGACAAAGAAGCTGCAGAATATGGAATAAAAACATTAAATTGTAAATAATTATTTGTCAAAATGTCAATGTGACAATATAATCATATTAAAGTAGATATTATTGCTAAGAGCTAATGAAAAGCTTAGTCAAAATACTCATGAATGTAGTAAAACAACATACATTCATTTATTTGTTTAACCCTTATTTATTATCACATGTATTAGTGTAGTGCACATTATTAAAAGTTCTTTTTTTTCAATTCTTTTGTTAGTGTCAGGATGTTTGTTTCATTATCTGATTAAACATCTTCTTCTGTTTTAATAATTTAGTTGAAGTATTTTTGTTGAATGGTTGTCAACAACAGATACAATCTCAGATAAATACAATTTTTTTTTTTAGTAAGATTAAAATCAAGTAAAAACACTAACTTGGCATTCTACAAAATGCTCAAAGTTCAAGTATTACTTCTAGTACCGGATTGTTAAAAGAGTTATGTTTAATACAATTTAAAAAACAATTGTCTTAAAAAAAATATCCTTAAAACATATCAGCTATCCCATGTGAGCGTTTATGAAACAAAAAAAAAATCCTCCATGACGGGTTTTTTTGAATTATCTATAAGCATTAATAAAAACATAACATAACGGGGACAGGTCAGCTAGACAGGTATTTTACTATGTCCAAAGTAAGTTAGATCAAGATTATGTAAGATGACCTTCTTGTTTTCTTGTGTTTCAAAAATTAAATAAAATACACTGACCGGCAAAAAAGCCGGCCACCCCGAAAAATTTCACAAAACCACTTTAAAAATTATTAATTTAACTAGTGATCATTATTTTATTAAAGAAGCATTGACTATTGCCACATGATGTACAAATTAGCAAAAAAAGAAGACAAATAAACGCAGAATTAAATCTAATTTAACAAAATAACAGAAACAGACCAAGTACGATATTTTCTTAATTAAAACAATAAAGGAGGCTATTGTTGTAAACACTGTTTTTCATTATTTGATGATAAGTTTGGCAGTTAATAAACGTTTGCACGTGAAAATAATGCCGTTAACTCTTACAGATGTCTCTCAAATTGTCGCTCTGTTTCTGTTATTTTATTAAATTAAATTTAATTCTGCTTTTATTTGACTTCGTTTTTTTTGCTAATTTATACATCATGTGTCAATAGTGAATGGTTCTTTAATAAAATAACGATTACTAGTTAAATTAATCATTTTTAAAGTGCAAATTTTTTTAGGGTGGCCGGGTTTTTTTTGCCGGTCAGTGTATATGCCACACATTCATAGAGAAGAATGTTTTTATGTAAATCTTGGGTGAAAAGGAAACTTGTGATTCGTTGCTGGATATAGAATATATGCACAGTTATTTTTGTTGATGCTTTATTTTTTTACTTAGGTAAGTAAGATGTATACTAATGGGAAGCCGATGTTATCTTAATAACCCAAGCCCATTCACTCATTACTGCTGCTTGGTCTGGGAGTGTTATGGCCACTTTATCGTCACTGATTTCCCACTGCAAAAATTTTCACTAATTAGGTACACGAAACATATTTCAAATATTCGTCATTACCGTTAATGACTGATCTTGGTTTCCTAGCAAAATCACTTCACTAGATGAACCGAAAAGAGGCGTGGCAGCACCCAAATTTAGAACATTTCCATCAGGCCAGTTCAGAACTATAGCATATACGTCGGAATCCTTACTAGTATACCAAACACCGGAAGTTAGAGTATCGTTTTGGACAGACCATGGCACGCTTTCGTATATAGCGTCACCATTGATACCTAACCACGTTCCGAGCTGTAGAAGACGTTCTTGGAAGATGGGAACGATAGTTCCTTCTTTAGTTGGTCCGACATTTATAAGAATATTTCCTAAAGAGAAATGTAGTAATTTATTCAACACTTTTACACTATAGTTACCTCCACAACTGATTGTTTGTGTTAAAGTTTCAATAAGTTCATGTATTGTCAGAATGTCAGATATTTTTATCGTCCTTCGATAACCCCACGAATTTCTGTCAACAGTCATAGCATTTTCCCATTTGTGAGGTTGAAGGACGCCTGCAGAAATACATTGTCAATGACAATAAATAGGTGAGATACAAATACAAAATTGCGAACCTGGATTGTATTTATCGTAGCAAGTATAAATATCGCCGTGGATACATTGAGTATTACTTCCCCATCTGTCATTTGAAACTATAACATCTTTGACGGGACTTTCATTGTAAAGCCAAGCAAGAAATTCTGTCGCTTTCCAGTAAGTGTCCGGACTCTCCCAATTTCCATCAGACCACAAAACTTCAGGTTCATATGTACTGATAAGTTCTTTCATTTCTGGTATGACTTTTGAATCGACAAAGTTAGAAGTTGCCCAGTTGTTTGCTTTATCGTCTTCGTAAAGAGGATGGTACCATTCAAGTAGAGAGTGGTAGAGGCCAAAGTGGAGATCTTTGCTCCTAACAGCTTTCGCAAGATCTCCTAAAGGTACAAAAACTGGTGACGCTTGTTTTGGACGAAAAAATTCTTACCTAAAAGGTCACGGTGCGGACCCACGTCATTCGCGTTCCAACTGTAGGAGTATTTTGATGGCCACATAGCATATCCTTCATGGTGTTTGCTGGTTAGTACTACATATCTAGTAACAGTTTAAATAATTAGCCGCAATAAATTGAAATGTGTTTAGTAGATTTACTTTGCACCAGAATTTTTAAACAAGTCGGCCCAAGTATCGGGATCGTAAAATTCTGCTGTAAATTGTTCCGCAAAGTCTTGATACGTCCAATTGGGTGGGTAGTTCTTCTCAATAAAGTTTACAATTTCACTATTGCCTCCTAAAATTTGAATATATTTGTATCATTGATAAAATGATGACTGAATTTTTTAAAGTTCATACGTACCTACCCAACTACTCCAGAACCATTCATTTCCTAAACTGGGAACTGAGTAGACACCCCAGTGGAGGAAAATTCCAATTTTTGCTTTATCATACCAGTCAGGAAGTGGACGGCTGTCTAAACTATCCCAGTTTGCTTCATAGTCGGCCACAGTTTGTGTAACAATCCCGCAAAATAATAGTACCCACAAAGCTGCCATTCTTTTGGATGTCACAGGTATAACAAACTTGTTTAAATTTGTTGTCGGACGAGCAATAAATATATACAAAAACACTTAAGGATAAGTGAGTGCAGGGTTGGACTGTACAAGTTGATATGCATAGATTAAATACAATCTTTTGAAATAACCTGTCTAAACAATAGCTAACTATTGATACTAGGTACTTCGCTTTTTTTTGCAGATTTACAAAATCTAATTTTATAATTTTTCAAAAAAGCGGGGGAAGTCTGTCGAAATAATTTTGGACCATTTTTTTTAATAGATAGAGATTAGGGATGTACCGACTGTAGGTCTGGAGGACTAACCGACTAGCCGATTGTTCTGCCAGTAAAAACTGACTAGTCGGCCGACTGTTCGGCTTTGCTAAAACCGATTTATAAATGCGACAGACAGTGTGTTTTTTTTCTATTTCTCTGACTACCTTAAAAATTTGTTTTATTTTAATAAAAGTTCCTTTGTTTTCCAAAAAATGTGTTAAATTTGTTTGGATAATTTTAACATTTTTTTTTTTGTAGTAACTCAGTACAAAAATAAAGAATAACACAATTTAGGGCCAGTTTATACAATATTTTAACTGAGATTAAGTTGATCACGCGTTTAACAAGACCATTAGCGACTTCTGATTGAGTCACATGGTACTTTAACGCCGTGTTAAAAATTAAATTGCAATTACATATTTAATTGAGGTTTTGTAGATCGGATTTAATTGTATTTTATACTATTTTAATAAAAAAAGCTGACCGATCGGCTATTTAGCCGACCAGTCGCCGACTGCCAGCCGACGATGAAAAACGGCCGAATAGTCGGCTTATCCGACTGGTCGGCCACTAGTCGGTACATCCCTAATAGAGATAGATGGAAACATGTCTAAAAAATGAAACAGTCTATAAATGTGTTTCGTTGAATTCTATTTCTGAGTTTTTATCAAATTCTTTGACTTTACCAGCGCATTGTGTTCTGTAATTCTGTATACCGAAAATTGCTTGAGCTTAAAGTGTGCATATTTGTTATCCACTCCGACTCTGTAAAGAAGGAGTCAGCTGAGGAAAATTTTTGACACTTTTGTTATTTCATATTAAAGTGTGTCCGATAACCGCTATCACTTTCGATTATTGTTTCTTAGAAGATCTACATTGAGTATTACAAGTAAGATTTTTTTTTAAATTTTAGTCCTTTTCCGTACAATTCCGTTGTACAATCTTGTACAATACAATTTTCCTTTGTTTTCGAGTGCTTTACAAGTACAAAGTTCTCTTGTTAAACACGAGTGTATTGTTTTTTGCTAATACATAATTACAAATGAACATAATTCAAAAATTTCCACAGTTGACGGTGACGTGTACAGAATAATTCCGACTGGAATGGATTTGACAAGACTCAGATTGCCTCAACATTGAGTGGACTTGACTAGCTTGCTTCCGACAGTGGTCCCTGGATGGTTCTTGAACGCGGCTTCGAGGTTTTTCTGGAGCACGCCATCGAGACTTCCGGCAACCCCCTCAAGACTTTTCTTTAGCGAATCCCGTCAGGCCTCCGTCACCCATCATCGCCGTACATACTAGAAAGTCCTCGAGAAAACCCATAGGCGTCGTACCGGGGCGGCGTATGCGTCTATTTCGTAACAATACTGTACTTGCCACAGTACTTGCCAATTATGCAACGACTACTAGGTATGTAGGTATACCGTTGGTATGATTAATTTACTTTCATAAGTTGACGTTTGTAAATTTTAAATGCTTATGTAAAATTCCTAGATTCAACAAGAATTTCCGTAACGACGTACCTCCTTCAGTTGACCATAGAGTTCGACCTGTTTTTAAGTTTGCACCATGATTTGTACTATATGGGCCTCTTCAGGAAAATTTGGTTTTTAAATACAAAAGCAATACATTTTTGACTTATTAAAATGAGTGATATTTAAATCAATTCTTGACAAAAAAATGTTATTATAAAAAGTATTCCACACATCTAAATTTTCTAGACGTATCATTTGAAAGGAAACATGATACATTTTTAAAATATGTATATAAAAACCGATAGATTCAAAATAATTTTAAGAAGTTATTGGCACAGTCTATGGCACAGTATAGATAACTTGTTGACTATACTATATAATTGGTTTGATTGATATGTAACAAATATCACAATCCATTTTATTTTTCATGTTGGCAATTCTAATAGTAAATTCTTTAATTAAATTATGAATTACTTATGACACAAATAAATAATGTAAAATGATAGTTTTGCTATCTAAAGAACTGGAAATACAGAGAACATGAGCTTGAAACTGCAGATTTGAAACATGAATTGAAATTAGCACATAAACACCAGTTTGAAATGTTAAATATTCAAAAGGAACTTTTAAATTAACATGATTTTGATTGTTGTGAATTAATTTAATTAAAATAAATTGTCATTGTGATTTTTAGACAATGGCAAACTGGGAAATCATTACAAATATGAAATAGATTGTAGTAAGTTTCTTAGATTTTTATGATATGAAGCGCCTGGACCATAAAATTGTATATAGGAAGAAGAAATTTGATACTTTTGCTAAAAGCAAACCAGAGAAATTAAATGTTCCTGAAATTTTATTGTGACGCGCCGTCACTAAATCAGTTCACGAGAAAATCGCAACAAAAAGGCGAATAACAAATCCCTAGAACATAAAAATGAATTCACAAATTTACAAATCTTAATTACTTAACACACATGTCCAAATCTGCATATAGTACCCCTCAAACGGACAATCAGAATCGGCCACAAATCCCCAAACGGAAAAACAAAATTCGCATATTCGCAAATGTCAAATATCATTGCGCTTGTCAAACATTGCGAACAACATGCGCAGAACTGTACACCCATAAAAACCGCCAATCGCAATTGCTTTCATTAGAATTCGTACCCAAACTAAAACAGCAGCAGGTGAAACCCAGACGCAACAGATCAATGAACGCCGCTTTTATTAACAGAGATGCAGCAGCCTGGCGCAACAAAGCGATGGCGACATGGGAACCATGATGCAAGTTGAAAAAATTGGTCTAAAGAGTTTAGACAGTACTTCCCTCGCTGTCGAAAACGTGATGACTGCATGCCTATTATGTTTTTTTCGCATTAGATTTCAAAACACTCGGTTCTGTAGTTCCTGATTAAATCAATAAAATAAATTTACCCATTCATTAATTTTTTCGGTCACCCTGTATATGTAAATCCAAAAAATTTGAATGGAATGATAAGTCACAAGAAGAGACTCATCATATTTTGTACATTTTAGATAGGATTTATTCAGCAAAATTTTGTGGTAACGTCATAAATTTTTTAGGGGGGATGAGCAAATACATTTTGATCAAAAACTTACCATGCTTTTGGTAACTTTAAACCATCTTCAAGATTTCAAAGCATTCGGTTTTGTAGTTCCTGAGTAAAGCAATAAAATAAATTTACGCATTCATTAATTTTTTTGAGTCACCCTGTATATGCAAATCCAAAAAATATGAATGGAATGATAAATCACAAGAAGAGTTTCATCATATTTTGTACATTTTAGATAGGATTTATTCAGCAAAATTTTGTGGTGACGTCATAAATTTTTTAGGGGGGATGAGCAAATACATTTTGATCACAAACTTACCATGCTTATGATAACTTTAATACATCTTCAAGTCTTCAAAGCATTCGGTTTTGTAGTTCCTGAGTAAATCAATAAAATAAATTTACGCATTCATTAATTTTTTTGAGTCACCCTGTATATGCAAATCCAAAAAATTTGAATGCAGTGATGAATCACAAGTACAGACTCATCATATTTTGTACAGTTTAGATAGGATTTATTCGGCAAACTTTCGAGCTGACGTCATCAATTTTTTGGAGGTGATAAGCAAATATATTTTGACTAAACATTTATTATGTTCTTTATAACCTTAAAACATTTACAACATTTCAAAACATTGGGGTTATCAGATTCAAAATTAAATTGCAAAATATTGATTTATAATTTTGATTTTTTTTCCAAAAATCTGGACGCTTCGGGTAAAAACTCAATTCGGAGTCGTAAACTACATGTGTAGGACTATGTTATTTTATACAATTTAAAACCCATTTACTATGTACAATTTTGAAGTGACGTCATCGCATTAGTGGTGGGGATGATTAGACAAATTTTTGTTAGCGTTTTACCATCTACATGATATTCCTAATATAAGTACAAAATTTCACAACAATCGGTGCAGCACTTTGGGAGATTATCTGCCTAATAAAAATCCGGGACGGCAGACAGACGGACAGACGGACAGACAGACGGAAACGGGAGACCTATTTCTTCGTCTTCTAGGGGCCATGAAAAATCGAGAAAACGTAAAAGTACACAGTCGGCCGAGGGACTCGATTACAATACTTCTTTGCTTACGCTCGGGAAGTAAAAAATTATAGTTTATAGACTATCGCAACTTATATTACACATTTCATGAGTAATTTTTTTTTTGTTATAAAGAAAATGATCCTAAAACATACCAGCTACGCCATGTGAGCTTTTATGAAATAAAATGTGTTATACTCTTTTAATTTTCTTTGTTATACTTCTAGTCAATTTAGCAACCTCATTTAAAAATTTTAAGTACGAGTTATCCGCCATGACGGGTTTTCTTGAATCATGTAACTATAAGCATTAATAAAAATATCATAACGAGGACAGGTCAACTAAGTAGACAGGGTAAATTGGATCAATATTATGTAAGATGACCTTCTTGTTTTCTTGTGTTTCAAAAATTAAATAAAATATATGCCACACATTCATGGAGAAGAATGTTTTTATGTAAATCTTGCGTGAAAAGGAAACTTGTAATTCGTTACTGGATAAAGAATATGTATACAGTTGTTTTTGTTGATGCTTTATTTTTTTACTTAAGTAAGATGTATACTAATGGGAAGCCGATGTTATCTTAATAACCCAAGCCCATTCACTCATTACTGCTGCTTGGTCTGGGAATGTTATGGACACTTTATCGTCACTGATTTCCCACTGCAAAAATTTTCACTAATTA